TATAAAAGATTTGTTTCATAAACAGAACAGGATTTGTTTCATAAAGAGGCAGGGGGAGGGGTGGCATAGCAAGTCAAGCAATGCTGACATCCCATATGAGCCCTAGGGTTTGGTACCTGGATGCTCCACTTCCAATTCAGCTCCCTGCTAATACACCCAGGAAAGCAGTAGAGAATGGCTCAATTCCTTGGGCCCCTAAACTCACATGAGAGGGTCTGGTAGAAGTTTTGAGCTCCTGACTTCATTCTGACATAGATGTGGCTCTTGGGAACATTTGGAGGGGGGGTGAATCAGAAGATATAAGATTCTCTCTCCATTACTCTACCATTTGACAAGAAAATAAATCTTAAGAAACACAGAAAAATCAGAAACAAAAATGCCCAGAGAGAGTTCATCAATGAGTTAGAGTGTAGGATGCAGGCTTGCTTTCTGGAATGTGTGTTGGATTATTGGTGACTCCTTTCTCTGTTTCCTTTTGCTGTTTCAGTCTTTGCTTTCAATAGCAAATTTATCATACAATTCCGAGTCCATGAAAAGAACCCATCAACAATACACAGTACATTCTCCTGATATCCCAGGCTCAGGAGAGCTGCCATCCCGTTGCCCAGCAGCCTTTCCAGGCACCATGCTCCTCTGGGTGCACAAGCCCTCCTCTGCAGTCAGAGCGAGCACACGCTCCTGACCAAGCCGTGACTGCTTGCTTGTTATTCCATTGCTTTTTTAGCTACACCAAACTTCACACGCTATTGCATCATAATAGTCTTTCCTATTGCCAACATTCAAAGCATTTAATCATTTCTAGTTTGTTTGTAGGGAGAGTGCTGCAAACAACATTTTTAAATAATTGAAAATGTTTTTAAATTTTGAGTAATTTCTTTGGGATGAATTCTCAGAATTCTAGCGGCTAAAGTCCTCTCATGAACACGCCGGGATCCCATATGGGCGCCGGTTCTAATCCCGGCAGCTCCACTTCCCATTCAGCTCCCTGTTTGTGGCCTGGGAAAGCAGTCGAGGACAGCCCAAAGCCTTGGGACCCTGCACCCGTGTGGGAGACCCAGAAGAAGTTCCTGGATCCCAGCTTTGGATCGGCATAGCATTGGCCGTTGCGCTCACTTGGGGAGTGAATCATCGAACGGAAGATCTGCCTCTCCTCCTCTCTGTATATCTGACTTTGTAATAAAAATAAATCTTTTAAAAAAATTAAAAAAAAAAAGAAGTGGCATTGTTGGATCACCTGTGTGAATTTTGATAACTCTAAATGCCAGGGGAAAAAGTTAGTATTGAGTAGATTCTAAAGATGTGAATCTAGTGAATGCAGGTCAGCGTGTTTTCCTGTATTTCTATTGAAATCCTTTGTGAACCTACTGTAGGCCTGCCAAGTACCATAGACGTTAATCTAGAGCCACAATCACATCAGTAACATCACATGACGTCTATTTCCTCCTACTGTTGTCCAAAAGTTTATTTTTTTTTTTACATGTGATCAGTGTTGCTCTTTTTGCGATGCTTTCTGCCTGGTGCCCTGGGCCAAAGGAAGTTATCATTCTTCTGTTGATAAAAGTACCGCACAGGCCCAGTGTGGTAGCCTAGTGGCTAAAGTCCTCACCTTGCATGCACTGGGATCCCATGTGGGCGCGGGTTTTCATCTCAGCAGTCCTGCTTCCCATCCAGCTTCCTGTTTATGGCCTGGGAAAGCACTCAAGGACAGCCCAAAGCCTTGGGAACCTGCACCTCTCTGTCTATCCTCCTCTATATATATTTGACTATGCAATAAAAATAAATAAATCTTTAAAAAAAAAAAAAAAAGCACAGCCTGTTTCCACCAGTCCTTTCCTGACAGTTTTTAGCCCAATCAACCTGCATGTAGTTTATGAGTACTGGGTCTGAACCATCTTTATAGCTCTCTCAGTTGTAGCGAACTTTTCCTCCCTCCTGCTCACGTAAGCCTCCCACCCGCTCCAATAGCATCTATGCTCCTCGGCCTGCGCCATCGTCCATCAGCTCCATTCCCCCTGCGCTTCGGCTCATTCCACGTGGTCTTCCCTTACTGTGATGGCATAGACTATGTGTCCTCCCATCTCATACTTTCTTCTACTCTTGTTTAAATAAATACTCCATCTTATTTTTCCTCATATAATTCTTCTTTAAGTAATTCTAATTTGTTTGGTAGGGGAAAAAAAAAAAAGAGACCGGCAGAGATCTTCTACCTGCTGGTTTACTGCACAAATGTTTCCAGCAGCGAGGGCTGGGGCAAGCTGAAGCAAGGAGCTGGGAACTCAATCCGGGTGTCCCATGTGGAGGGACCCAACCACTGCAGCAGGGCCCATAGTCAAACTCGGGCACTCTGATCTCAGCCACTGTGCCATACGCACTTCCCCCTTTCCAGCTTTTAGAAACAGGTGGTAAACACCAAAGGGAAATCCTCTTCAAAGAGCAGATGACCACAAGGAGTTGTTCAGGAAGTCAACGAGAGTTACCCAAATGTCTCACCCGTGCTCTTTGAGTTTTTTTTTTTTAACTCCTTTCAGGTAGGGAAGCCCACTGCACCGCCACCTCACCCACCCCCAAAGCTTTGCTTGATCCGCATCTTAGAACCCACAGAGACCACAGCCGCTATGCAAAATAAGTCTCAGCGGCAGCAGCATGATCTTTTTCGCAGTTAGCTTGTGACAAGTGAGCCAGGATCTGCAATCCAGGGCACCTTCTCAGAGGGAGCTTTGGGCTTCCTTTCCAGTGGCACAGCTGGTGAGTGTGTCCTCAGGGCCACGGTCATGCACAGGCTCCACATAGTGGCCTTGTCAAAGCCGTGAGTCCTACCTCAGGAGTCCGACCCATCCTCATGTTCACTCAACCGCAAGCAGCTCTGGGTGAGTGCCCTGGCCTGTGGCCAGCAGCCCTCCCCAGGTCTATTCCCTTCCTCATGCTGCTGGACAGTGAAAGCTGCTTTCAGCCTCATGAAAGACAAGTTTGGAGTGGGGGCTGTGTGATGGGTAGGAAAAGTAGGGCTCCCGCCACTGGATGGCGCGATGTCCTTGTTCCATAAACATGCGTGGAAAGACGTGTTCTTGGAGAAATGTGAAGACACCCCCATGGTAGAGTCAGGCAGATGTGTGGAGCCACCTCTCCTCACCGTTTGATCACAAATGCATGGAATCAACTTGCAAAGTCTGTTTCTAACAGAGAAAGCAGCACCACCAAGCATCCAGTGCTGAGTAAATTATTTCCCAGCAGGAGACGAACTGTATCCTGTTACTGCTTTAACACCTAAAAGGACAAAATAGCAAAATTAGTTTTAGTTTAAAATATGAATGGCTCCAAGGTCCACATGGGGCAGCAGAGGTCCCTAACCTCTGGGGTGTTATGGACCCCTTAGAGAACTGAAAGAATCACATAGTCCACATAGTCCACATAGTCCACATTCCATGGGCTGCTCTGGAGAGCCCAGGATAGGAACTTACACCTTGGACACTCAGTGCCTGCATGTCACCTCTGTCAGGTGGGGAGGGCGAGACCTGCTGTCCCCTAGGGCAGGATCAGGGCATGCGGTGATTTGGGGGATCTCCCTGTGACAGGCACCCGAGTCCCAGATGATTTTAGTGCTTGGCTGCAGGTCATGCAGCTTCTGAAAAGCAAGAGCCAGGCCACAAGCCAGAGCTTCCCAACCACCCTGCCCTGCCGTGTTCTCCGCTGCTCTCCCAGGTGCGTTAACAGGGTGCTGGATTGGAAGTAGGGCAGCCAGCACTGGAACCTGTGTCGTTGTCATAGATACAGTTTACCCCGCTGTGCCCTGATGCCAGCAGTGGCTGTGAGCTCTGACGCTACACCCACAGGATGCTCCCCACCCCACCACCCCCCAAGCTGGGTAACACCCACCTGAGGTCACTGGCGTTCATGTCCATGGGCTCCTCTAGGTCTTCCCATTCGCTGTCACTCCCATGACCGCCTACTGCAGACGAATGCTCTGGGCAAATGGCCGAGGAACAGAACTGAGGCAAGAGAATGGTATCCGCATCCGCCTCCAGACAGTCACTGCAGGGGAGCTGGCCTTCGGTGGCAGAGTCCATGGTTAGGTAGTCTTCATCCTCCCAGGAGGGAGAAGGGGATTGGGACGGAGGGCTCAGATCCCCTTCTTCATCACTGGAAAACAAAACCCCTGTGCCTCGCAGCTTTGACCAAAGATACCCAGCCCCCTGCTCCCAGCCTTCCAGAGTGTTCACTGCAGTGCGTCAGGGGAGGCCCAGCCAGGATTCTGTCCAAGTCCACCAGGGCACCAGAAGCCAACAGAGGGCAAGACATGGCCCCACACCCTGCAGCAGCCCCCAGCAAAGAGAAAAAACAGGAGGCAAATGTTACTGTCCAGGTGGGAGCACATGCTATGGTGATGGCAACTCTGAGCATTACAGGAGCTGATGGCAGGGGTGGGAGGGCACCTTCCCAAGCCCAGGAGACCAGGAGGGGACAGCATGGAAAAGAGCTGTAACTGCAGTTCTCATTCTAGTTACAGTCTGTCAACCCTGGGAAGGTTACAGACATATTCGGAATGTCAGTTTGTTATTTGAAAAAGCAAGAAGCATAAGAGATGGCTGTGCCACTTCCGTTGGATGCTTCAGATTCCGCCCTTCTGTGGCTCCCAGGTGCAGGAGTGTGAGATGCTGTTATGGACACAGTGGTGAATGTTTCAGCAGAGGAATGAGAAAGTGTCAGAGAAGAGGATTGGAAGCAACTCAAGCAGGCAACTTTTAAAGCAATCCATATAGATACCAGGTCCCCCGGCTGTGTGCTGAATGTGTGCCTGTTCAGAGAGGCCAGTAGCTGGAGTAACATGGACTGCCCATGATGTAGGAAGAACACAGGAAGCAGCAGCACGGTGAAGTTCATTGGCTGGTAGCATGGCTGCAGGTGCAAGCGAGGAGGCCTCAGCCCCCAGCTTCCCACACAGGCCATGGGTTAGAAAAGGCAATCCACACACACACGGTGCCGCAGACAGGCAAAGAAGGTGCTCAGAAGAGGCCTCTGGTGAGTCTGCTTAGAGAGGATGAGAAGGACCATCTAAGAGACAAGCATACACAGATGGAGTGTTACAGCATCCACACACTTTCTAACACCTCACCCTCCATCCCATGCCCTGACCAACGGACTGGCTTCGTTAGGTGCCGGGACCTGCCAGTCTCCTGGCCTACAGTGCCCCTGCTTCTTTAATATTAGCTCTGCATCCTCCTAGGAGCCACAGGCTCCCCAAGCGGTCCAGGGCCCATCCTCCTCCCTCTCTGTCATGGACTCTCCTGAGAGCTTCAGGGACCATGCAGGAGCATGTCTCATGAAAACACACACACACACACACACACACTTGGATATGAAGAAGAAATTCTATGCTGTAAGAGAAAACTTCAACAGTAAAAAATCTAATTGCTGAGCTAAGAGGGAAAACAGGTTTGATAATATAAAGTACATGGCTGAATCGTGTGCGGACCACAATGTGTACGTTTTCATATACACAGAGAGGACATCCACAAAAGAATGGGAAATCCACCTGTTGCTCAGCCCTAGACTTAGGGCAAACCCTTCCCTCTACCTCGATGATGCTAAGCTTGTTTCAGAGCCACAGGTGACAGTGGCCCATCGGCCATTACTGCCATCAGACTGCGCATGCATCATCTTCTGCCACCATATTCCCACTCTCCGCATCCCCACTGACTTAGCTCCTTACTCTCCGGTTTGGCTACTGACGCTGCCTGGGCAGTGACGTAGGGAAGCTTTAGTGTGAGAGGCAAGAGGCAAGGCTGGTGGAATCCCGGCCATCATCCCACGGCAGGTCAGGGACCATGATGGCCTTCCGTTCCGCAGTTCCAGGCTGCCCTGGGAGCTTTGCCTGGGAAGTGGGGAAAGGTGAACAAGCCGAGATACAGTGAGAAGGCCCGTGTGCATTTTAATGCAGAGTCTGTATTAGAGACTCAAGGATTGGGACACAGAAGGTGGCATTTCTTCAGAGCAAGGCAGGTGTTTCAGCAGGTGGCATGCCAGGAAAAGAGGCAACCAGCGCCCCAGAGAGTGTGGGCCCCCTTGCAGGCTCCCTGCTCAGTCCATCTCTCGTACACCGGCTGACAGAGGTACCCAGAACCAGGGTCTTCACCATGTCCTTCAGCTTGTTCTTGTCTGTGTCTATAAAAATCCAGCTCAGGGTCCAGCGTGGTAACCTAGTGGCTAAGGTCCTCGACTGGCGTGCACTAGGATCCTGTATGGGCACCAGTTCTAATCCCAGCTGCTCTACTTCCCATCCAGCTCCCTCCGTGTAGCCTGGGAAAGCAGTCAAGGATGGCCCAAGGCCCTAGGACCCTGCTCCCGCATGGGAGACCCAGAGGAAGCTCCTGACTCCTGGCTTCAGACTTGCTCAGCTCTGGCCATTGTGGGCACTTGAGAGGTGAAACAGCAGACAGAAAATCTCTCTTTCTGTATCTCCTTTGCTCTGTATATGTGACTTTCCAATAAAAATAAATAAATCTTTAGGAAGAAAGAAAGAAAAAAAAGAAACAAACAAACAAACCCAGGTCAGCCCTGAGATTAGCGACATTGTTCTGCAGGCCATGCTTGCCACAAGATGATCTATTGCAGGAAGACACCAGACCCAGTCACCCCGGATAGCTGTCCTGGCCTTGGAAGACATGGGCTCCCAAACCCATCTGCATCTTTCAAGTTAGTAGGAGGTACCATTCCAAGCTTGAGGCAGTAAGGTATTGCACTTGTTCTGTTTCTTCGTGCTTCAACTCCCGAGACATTTGGAGTCTTGTGTCTCAGACTCGGCCTTCTCCAGCATAGGATCCTGCTCTGACGTCCCCGCTAGCCTCTGATGGTGCAGCCTGGAGCCTTGGTCTGTCCCCGCAGGCTCCATTTACGGTCCGGTTGATGAGATTTGCACGTGACCCACACAACAAAATAAAGAGGTTCAAAGGGGTGCTGAATTTAAAGCTCAGTTGATAAACCTGCACTTGTCACCTACATGAGGCCACTTCAACAAGCTCATGGAAAACAAAATCAAAAGACAAGTTTACTTTGGTGTGGGGAAAGCTGAAATCCATGCAAATGAGGAGTGTTCAAACGTTCATGGGAATGTCTGTTCTGAAAAACGTGTTGTGAATCTCAAAAACCTGCGCACCAGGCCTATTGTGGTAGCCTAGTGGCTAAAGTCCTCGCCTTGCACACTCTGGGATCCCAGATGGGTGCCGGTTCTTATTCCAGACACTCCACTTCCCTTACAGCTCCCTGCTTATGGCCTGGGAAGCCAGTGGAGGACAGCCCAAAGCCTTGGGACCCTGCACCCGCATGGCAGACCAGGAAGGGTGTCTTGGCTCCTGGCTTTGGATTAGCTCAGCTCCAGCCACTGCAGGCACTTTAGAGAGTAAATCAACGGGTGGAAGATCTTTCTCTCTATAAATCTACCTTTCTAATAAAAATAACTGAATAAATAAATCCGTGCATCAAAATAAACTTAACATTTCTAAACATTTTCAAAATGCTGTATTTATTATGCTTTAAAATTGTTTTTAAATGTTGACAGACGATAGTGGTGCGTATTTCTGGGGTATGGTGTGACATTTCAGCACATGTGTATTATGTGTACTGATCGCTCTCCTTGTTGTGGAGTTCCTCTCTTCTGTTTGTTCAAAAATGTATAATTTGGGTTATTGTAAACTGCAGTCACCATGCTGTGTAACAGTAGGAACCTACTCCTTCTGTCTACAACCTGTTACCCAACCTTGCTCCGTCCCTCCTCACTCCTTCCAGCTTCCAGCCATCACCACTCTAGGTTCAGATGGGAACTTTTAGCTTTCACCTGTGAGGGAGAACATGCAATATGTATCTTTCTGAGTCTGGTTTATTTCACTTAATATAATGTCCTTCACTCCCAATGAAACTGTTAAATAGATCTTGACAAGAACATGCTGGGTCTCTCTAACATTGTCTATAACCTACAATGTCAGGATACACTTAAGTAGCAGAATGATGCACTTGTAACTGTTGCTGAAGGACTATACTACTGCATAATATAGGGTGGGAAAGTGTGTGGGGGAGGGAATGGGGAAACCTCCCAGCCTGTGGAACTATATCATGAAAAATAAAAAATGTGTGTATGTATGTATGTATATATATATATATGTGTGTGTGTATACATATGTGTGTGATATGTGTTTATATGTAATGTCCTTCACTTTCATGTATTTTGCTGCCAATAACAGCTATGCCTACATAACATTCCGTTTTCTCTCTCGGTACATACCACATCCTCTTGACCCATTCTTCTGACGATGGGCATCTCGGCTGATTCCGCACCTTGGCTGTTGCTAACTGTGCTACAAGGGAGCAGGTGTCCCTTTGGTTTGATTTCCTGTCTTTGGATATACACCCCATTGGGGGACTGCTGGATCCCAGGGCACTTACAGCTCTACTTTTCCCCAGAGTCTGTACATTCCCCCCATGCGGATGGAAGGTTCCCTTTTCTCCATATCTTCATCAGCGCTGACTACTTGTGCACTGGGGGGCGCAGGCATTCTGTGTTTCCCTGAGGAGTGGTGACATGGAGCATTCTTTCTTCTGTATCTGTTTGTCATTTGTGTTTCTTGTATTCAGATCCTTCCGCCCCTTTCTTCACTGGGTTGGTTGGGTTTCTTGCTCCTCTGGATTTTCTTTTTTTTTTTTTTTAAGATTTATTTTTATTATTTTTTTATTGGAAAGGCGGATATACAGAGAGGAGAGACAGAGAGGAAGATCTTTCGTCCATCCGATGATTCACTCCCCAAGTGAGCGCAATGGCCGATGCTATGCCGATCCGAAGCCAGGAGCCTCTTCCGGGTCTCCCACACAGGTACAGGGTCCCAAAGCTTTGGGCCATCCTCAACTGCTTTCCCAGGCCACAGGCAGGGAGCTGGAAGGGAAGTGGGGCCGCCGGGATTAGAACCGTCGCCCATATGGGATCCCGGGCGTGCAAGGCGAGGACCTTAACCACTGCGCCACCGTGCCAGGCCCTCCTCTGGATTTTCAAACATTTAGTTCACAAACATTTCTTCCCATCCCAGCTCTGCTCACGGGTCAGCCTCGTGACTCTGTCTGACTGCTGTTTTGCCTGACCTTTGACCTCTTCAAAATCTTCTGCCATTTCAGGACGAGCACCCTCCCCCCAAAAGGTGTCAGTAACATCGGGGGCATTGCAAGGACTTCTGTCTCATTTTTGCACTGTGAAATGGTGTTGGAGACTTACATCATACATACATCAGTGTGGTACTTTGTAAAATATACACACCATTCACTTATGTGAATTCAACTACTACGTGGGTAACCCAAAGTTACAGAAATATACAGAAGGCAGCTTCAAAGGGTTCATGCAAAACAGAACTAAAATTTGTTTGTTTTGGCACAAAGATTTTTGAAGGTATGCAATTTTTTCATAATATGCATCTTGTATGAACTTTTGAAGCCATGTGTGTGTATGCACGCGTGCTTGTGTACGTGTGGGTTGAAAGACACAGAGAGAGAAAAAGCCGGGACCAGCATGGTGGCATATCAGGTTAACTCTCCGCCTGCAGCACCAGCCTCCCATATGGACACCATTTGCTCCACTTTTGATCCCCTCTCTGTGGCCTAAGAAAGTAGTGGAGGATGGCTTGGTCCTTGGGCACCTGCACCCCTGGGAGAGACCCAAAGGAAGCCCCTGGTTCCTGGCTCCTGGCTTCAGCGTGGTCCAGCCTTTGCCATTTGGCATACTATCCCAACTTCCTCCCATGAAAATGCAGTGCCCTGCTGTACGCATTATCTACACAGCGGGGTCAAGTTTCTGCTACAGAGTGCAGAGATTCAGAGTACGGGGAAGAAGAAATGAAACGTAATCTTCTGTATGAATGCTCAGGGTTCGCTGGGGTGCTGGCACCCATCTGGCAGTAGAAGTAGCCATCTGGCAGATGGTAAGCTGCAATATTGCTGGGATTTTCAGTTAATAAGACCTGTTCTTTAACTGGAAACAACCTAGCAAAGGGAAAGAAATGGAGTTTGTGCTGCATCTGAGGAGCTGTGATAAGGGTCTGCATGTGTATTTTCTTCCTTTGAAGGTTTCCTGGCTCTCATGTGCACTTGGAAAGGTTCAAGCTCAGAAAAGTCCGTCTCCAGGCAGCTAGACACATTGGCACCACGGCCGGACGTCTTACACTTTTGTTCCTGTAGGGGGCGATCACTAACCATGTGTGGATAAACGCAAGCTAATATCTGTTGAAGAAGAACCTGAAACAATTTGTGTCCTTTCAGCCAGTGGTGGGAGAGAAAATAAGGCGGAAATGCTGCCAGGAAGTGAGAAGGGACAGAATGCACTCTTCACGGGGAGGCGAGAGGAAGGGAGAGGTGTTGGCCATGGAGCGCGCCTGTGCTGGCAACAGCAAGGCTGCCAGGGCCGCAAGGTGCTGGGTAATGCCAAAGACCAGTGGCTCCGTGAGAATGCTCTGGACCAAGCTATGGGGAGCCTTGTGTGACTCTAGAGAGGAGCAAGTCCCTCCAAGGCAGACAGACTTGGGACATCTGGTGTACTCTTGCAAGCAGGGGACCCTCAGCCAAATGTAACTGGATTCAGATAAAAAGCAGAGGGTGGTGATGTTCTCCAAATGAGTGCCCAAAAGGTAAGGACTTGCAGATTCAGAGAGGGAAGTGGCCTCTTCATCCAAGGAAATGCTGATCAACAGCTGCGGGAAGATAAGCAGGCTTCCATGGTAGAGCATGAGCAGGGCCCCTTCCTGGAGGATATTACACATGTTGCAGAGCACAGGGTAGGAAAGGAGAGCAGCTCATGCTACAGGGGGCCAGCTAAGGCCCTGGGACTCCATGAAGGATACGTTGAGTGCCTACGCTAGCAATCAGATACATACAGTGTTGACATCTATTGACTATAGCTAGTTAAAAGCAAGTGGCAAGTGAGATTCCCAGCTTGTATCAAAGCTCAGAGCCCCTTTACAGCTCGGCTCTCAGAGTCCCCACCAAACTCCAGCCCTGCTCTCACAGAGTTGAACTCCAGCCCTGTTCTCACATGTAAGTATGGTTTTCTGAGTATGTCCTACAAGATCACCCCGACGATTGTCCTCAGGCAGCACTGCCCTCTGTAATATTCCCTTTATTGTTTTATTGCCTAGAATGCAACAAAGAAAACGCTAACACACCTGTGTGTACCCCTTTCCAAGGCAGATAGGTTTGCCTATCCTATTCTGCCTTGCGGATTGTTTGGCTTCTATTTGGCTGGCACAGTGCTGTTTAGGACACTGTGTACACATGCTTTTAAGGACAGGATGCCTAGCATCAGTCTGTCTCAGCATTCCCTGGGTCTAAGTGTGCCACTCCACTCCTGGGCTGGTCCCTGAGTGTCCACTGGGTATCAGTTCCAGGAACCCCTTCAGATACTAACACACCTGCTGATGCTCAAGTGTTTTACAGTAAATGGTATAGTATTTGCATATTACACATCCTTCTGTATGCTCTAAATGATCTCTAGGTGACCTATAATACATGAAACAACGCAAATGCTGTCCAAATACTTGTTGTGCTGTAATGTTTAGGGAACACAAGCAAGCTGGAAAAGTCTACATGTACAGGGCAGGAGTAACCGTGCATGTGTTGGGGGGGGGTTGAACACACGGGTATGAAAGCTGCAGGTATGGGGTCAATGTTGTGGTACAGTGCATTAAGCCACCGTCTACAATGCCAGCATCTCATGTGGATGCTGGTCTGAATTCCGGCTGTGCTACTTTCAATCCAGCTCCCTGCTCATGTACCTGGGAGGGCAGCAGGGCATGGCTTGGGTGACTGGTTCGCTGCCACGAACATGGAGAGATTTGGATGGAGCTCCAGGCTCCTGGCTTCAGCCCAGCCCAGCCTGGGGTGTTGTGGCTATTTGGGAAGTAAATCAGCAGATCTCTCTCTCTCTCTCTTTCTCTCTCTCTCCTTAAAATAAGTAAGTAAATCTTTTTTTAAGAGAAAGAGGCCAAGATGGATGCAAAGGTTTGTGTCCTGAGAAAAAGCCCAAGGCCTGTCATCCGTAGCTTCCATGACTCATTGGGGATCATTGCAGTCATGGTTGCCTTGTCTCCCACACATATCGCAAGATGTGGCTCCAGAGCCTGTGCCTCCCTTGCTTCTGCCACCCCTGCCAACACCTAGAACAGTGATGGCACAGCAGGTGTCTGAACATCACCACTGGATGGCTTGACTGCGATGCAAGGTGAGTCGTCCACAAAAGGTCTGCACACAAGGTGAGGCTTACCTTCCAAGTCTCCTGAGCTCAGAGGCAGAATAGCAGCGTTGCCTCATGTCCTTTTCCAATGCTGTAGCCAACACCGGGGCGTCCCTCTCTCGGTGAAAGCTGCATAAGTGAGGCTGGGACTCCAGCGGGTGTGTTGAGGGGCTGGGCCAGGGTCTGTCTCTTTCTTGGCGCCCTTGAGTCACTCTCACAGCATTGTGGAAAGGTTCAGGCGTAAGGCCGGGACCTTCCCATGTGTCCAAGGAGGTGCTATCCTGCCAGCTCTCCTTCTGATCCGGGTCGGGACTCAGCTCTGGGTCAGTTTGTGCTGTCCTGGTGAAGTCTTTGTCTGTTGAGGCCACGGGTGTCTATTAAAAGATATCCAAATAAATATGGGCTCCACGGTGCACACAGAGCAAACTCTAGGAGATGCCTTGTGAACAGAAAAGAGCTTTTCTTCATGTGACTGTAGCTTAGAGCAGTCAAGTACTGGCCTGGGGAGTCAGTCTTGCGCTCCTGGGATCCCAGCTCCTGCACATTCTCCCTCTAGGCACTTACTACACACCCAACCCTGTCTCTAAGCACCTTTGCTCAGGCAAAGTGGAAGCTCCTAATGAAAGTGTGATTTATGTGTTGGTGACAGACACAGTAGAGCTCTCCTATTCCTTATTCCCAGGCAACCACCTGAACATACTAAGAACAACATTCCAGAACTAGTTTTAAGTTGCACAACATTCTGGACAGCAATGATGAACTCTACAATGTCCTTTGCCCCACCTAGAAAGTGAGACATGCCTTCATCCAGCACATCTCCACTGAATATGTCACTCTCCTCTCGGTCATCTCTGTTACCAGGGAGTGCCCACCATGCTGCCTGTGCTGAAGCCACCCTATTGTACATCATAGAGACCCCAGAGCACAAGAGAAGTGAGGTGAAGGAGTCACTGGGGCATAAAAGCCTGGAAGGACAGATGAATGTTATCACTATGTGACAGTGTTGCAGGGTACATAGGTTAAAAAAAAAAAACCATTAGATGTTGGGTTTAGTGCCATCTGTGGTCCTGGGCATACATGGGGGCCTTGACATCTCTCCCATGCATAAGTGAGGATGACTGCATTTGTGAAATCTGAATAAATATGAGAACAGGAAACCAATATGGAAAACAGTGATTATCCACCTCCAGTAAAATTTCGCTTTCATTTTCTTTGGGAGACAGATGGCCTTTCTTAGGTCTCCTCCTCACATCTCTAAATGCAATTCTCTTCCATTGCTTCCACCCTTGTTGGTGTCTGAGGTTCTCACTGTGACACCTGCCATGACTTATTGTCATTGCTCAACCTTCTTGTACAAATCAGTCTGCACTGCAGTCGAAAGCCACATGTTATGCACAGCACCGCCTCCTATCCCCCAGGTAAGGATGGCGGAGGTGCCCATCTTACCTGCCATCCCGGCTCCACCTCAGGCAGCGCTCCTGGAGAGGGTCGGCACAGGAGGAGCGTGACTTCCTCTGGGGCCGCTCGCAGCAGGTGGAGCACTTCCTGTGAGAAACCCAGCCCCAATGGTGAGGTCTTGAGGGAGCGCCCCATGGTCTCCCATGCGTGGCTCCTCAGCCCTCCTCTTGATCAGGTTCTCACCTCCAGTAGGGCTTTGGAAAATGCCACCACAGGCCTGACTTTACCAAGTTTAAGGTTTCAGGACTAGTGGCTTGCAGCCCCTACAGAGGCTATGCAGGGCACTGGGGCAGCATCACCAAAACTAAAGCCTCCTCTTCAGCCAGAGAAAGAGTGACTCAAACCAATGGCTGTTCCCTTTGCAATCTCCTTTCTCTCCCCACTCCCCTCCCCATACAGATGCCACCTTCTCAGCCTCTGAAGGCTGCCAAGGCTTGGACACTCTCCTCTGTGATTCCATGGGGACCTTCTCGCTGCTCCTGTCCTGTCCAGTGTCCCTTCACCCACCTTGCTCCACATTGCACAGGGTGGTCTTCCCAAGATGCAGAGATGACCAGGTCCCTTTTTCCCCCTGCCGCTCGTCTGTCTGGTTCACCTTGCTCTAGGTGTGAGTTCCAAAGCCTAGCACAGAGTCTGCTCCTAACTGCTGCTGCCTCTCACCCCAGCTTGCTCTCTCTCCCACCTGCTCCCCATTGCATCCACATGCTAAATTCCCAGCATGCGGCACCACTTGCTCCAAGCCACCTTCCCCATGCCCGGGAGCTCCAGCTTGCCCTGATAGCTCCTATTTCCTCTCAGAGACAAATTCTTCAACCGCTTAGCAGCACTAAGGTGTTAGGACATCTGTCCCGTGCCTTCTAGGATAGTTAGCAGTATCGCTGGTCTCTAGAGGCCAGTAGCATCCCTCGGCATCACTGGATTTGGCCAACTGTCCCCTGCTTTGGCACTGCTGAGGCAGACACCCAGGCCTCCTTCAGGAAGCCCTCCATCCTGGCTCCCGGGGTTAGCATCACACATGCGCTTTCACAGCTGCCGCTGCTGCTTTCTTGTCTGTTCCCACCTCACCGTAATCTCTGAGTCTGCACGGCCTGTCCCCCCACATCTACCTATCCATCTTGTCAGGGCTCCTGGGGCAAGAGGCTACATCCTGCTGGGCTCTGCCAGGAGGAGCCTGGACAGGGATCACCTGCAGGGGCCAGAGGAAGGTCAGTGTTGTTGTCTGACTTCCTCCCTTCGGAGCTGCCACAGGACTGTCAGGTCCCTTGGCTAATGTCACGACCTGTGTCAGCGAGCTGCTTTCGCCAGCTGCTCTCTCAGTTCCAAGGACTAGGTAATTGCTGTTTTCTGACCTGCTATGGGCTCAGGAGACAGTTGCCCCCTATGATGAGGTTCCCCTGAGCTTGCCCATAACCTAATCACACCTTTACTCAGCTCTCCTTGACTTAATCCATTATTACCAGGACTCTGACTCATATCTGCAAAGTTTCCTTGAGATTTGGGGCTGTTACCATTGAAAGGAGTCTTCCTCTCCCCCTCACACACATGCAATTTTCTTAGTAGAACCATGGGTCAAAAATTGTAAATGTGGGTAAAGTACAGTGGTTAGCAAGCCAACCCTCCATCTGCCATGCCGACATTGCATATGGGTACCAGTCCAAGTACCAGCTGCTCCACTTCCAATCCAGTTTCCCTCTTTAAAAAAAATATTTATTTTCATTGGAAAGTCAGATTTACAGAGAGAAGGAGAAACAGAGAAAAATATCTTCTGACTGCTGGTTCACTCCAAGTGGCCACAATAACCAATGCTGAGCCAATCCGAAGCCAGGAGCCTAGAGCCAAGAGCCTTTTGCAGATCTCCCACATGGGTGCAGGGTCTCAAAGTTTTGAGCCATCATTCACTGCTTTCCCAGGCCACAAACAGGAAGCTGGATGGGAAATGGAGCAGCCAGGACATGAACCTGCGCCCACATAAGATCCCAATGCAGGGCCCGGCGCGGTGGCGCAAGTGGTTAAGGTCCTCGCCTTGCACGCCCGGGATCCCATATGGGCGCCAGTTCTATCCCAGCAGCCCCGCTTCCCATCCAGCTCCCCGCCTGTGGCCTGGGAAAGCAGCAGAGGACGGCCCAAGGCTTTGGGACCCTGCACCCGTGTGGGAGATCCGGAAGAGTCTCCTGGCTTCGGATCGGCATAGTATCAGCCGTTGCGCTCACTTGGGGAGTGAATCATCGGATGGAAGATCTTCCTCTCTGTCTCTCCTCTCTGTATATCCGCCTTTCCAATAAAAAAATAATAAAAATAAATCTTTAAAAAAAAAAAAAAGATCCCAATGCACACACAATTGCATGCAAGGCAAGAACTTTAGTGTCTGGGCTACCACGCCAAACCCTCCAGGTCCTTCTTAATGACCTGGGAAAATAGCAAAAGATGGTCCAAGGCCTTAGGCCCCTGCATCCATGTGGGAGTCCTGGAAGAAGCTCCTGACTCCCGGCTTCTAATCTGCCTAGCTCTGGCCATTGTGACCAACTGGGAAATAAACCATCAGATGGAAGATCTCTCCCTCTTTGTCTTTCCCCCTCTCTCTGTAATGCTGAATTTCAAGTAAAATAAATAGATCTTTGGGGGGTAGGAGGGGAAAGTTGCAAGGTTAGCAGAGGAGAGCAGATGGGGCCCCACTCCAGCCTTGTGGGCCGTGTGCCCCGAGACCTTCAGTCAACACAAAAACCACAGGTTCATCACCAGTTTTACCAGTGAGCCAAGAAGCAAGGCTCAATCAAGGTCACAGAGACAGACAACTGAATATGGCAATGTCTCGCCAATCGCTGCCTTTGTGTGATCTAAGTCCTGGCTCCAGGTATGGCGTTCAAGAGCACCGAGAATCCCCTCCAGTGGACAACCCTGAAGGATGCCTGGCCAAGGTCAGCTTGCAGCCACAGCTGTGTCCCGTAAGACCCCCAGTACCTGGAAGACAAGGCCTTCTGTAGACCTTCCATTCACTGCTAGGATGACGTCGCCCACAGCGATGGCCCCATGTTCCTCAGCTGGCTGCCCCGGAAAGAGCCTTTTGATCCTCACGGGATCACTCCCCGGGTGGCTGCAGGTCGCTCGCTCCGTCTGCACAAAACTGAATCCCAAACCGTTGGTGTTCTTCTTCAGCTTGACTTCGAACTTGGGACCTGTACTGTGGGATGCTGAGAAACACAAATCCTTCAGGACACAGCGTGAGAATGCAAACTGCCAAGGAAGCAAAAACATTTCTGCTTTACATAAAGATTCCACTCGCTCTCGTGTATGATCGTGTCCGACAGACCCATTACAGATCAGTGCTACCCCGAGCTGCAGGAGTAAAATGCCTCTAAGTTATCACGTGTTAAATAAATAAACAAAAGGAGGGATCGGCATTGCGGTGCCACTTGCAACACCAGCATCCCTGAGTGCCGGTTCGAGTCCCAGCTACTCCACTTCCAATCCACCTCCTTATTAATGCTTCTTAGGAAATCCATGGAGGATTATCTGAGTGTTTGGGCCCTGCCAGCAATACAGGGGATGCACACGGAGTGCCAGGCCCCTGGCTCGGGCCTTGGCTTGTCCCAGCCATTGTGGTCATTCGAGGAGTAAGCCAGCAAGTGAAAGACATGTCTCTCCCTCCATTTCTATAATTCTACCTTCCAAATAAATAAATATTTGTTTAAAAAAAAATTTAGAATGTAAAGGGAAACAGGAAAAAAAAAAAGCCTTTGGTAATTTCTTTAACCTAACATATCTGGTTGATCGTGTCCCTCCAAACTGCCGCATCAGTGCTCAGATGAATAAATGTCTTCGCTGGAATGCAGAGCCAAGTGTGCAGAAAATGCACATTCTTCCACTAGGCTTTCACCCCTAAATTCTTTTTTTTTTTTTAAAGATTTATTTTTATTATTTTTTCATTGGAAAGGCAGATATACAGAGAGGAGAGACAGAGAGGAAGATCTTCCGTCCGATGATTCACTCCCCAAGTGAGCGCAACGGGCCGATGCTATGCCGATCTGAAGCCAGGAGACTCTTCCGGGTCTCCCACGCGGGTGCAGGGTCCCAAAGCCTTGGGCCATCCTCGACTGCTTTCCCGGGCCACAGGCAGGGAGCTGGAAGGGAAGCAGGGCTGCCGGGATTAGAACCGGCGCCCATATGGGATCCCGGGCGTGCAAGGCGAGGACCTTTAACCACTTGCGCCACCGCGCCGGGCCCTCACCCCTAAATTCTTACACAGAAGGAGTGCCAGCAGTTCAAGACAAGGTGGCGGGGGTGGGAGGCTCGGGGCAGAGCAGCACTAGTCATCTTTTGAGAACAACGCATTTCTGTTCCAGGGGCTACAGCCAATTAGACTGGCTCCCAAGGCAGCTGAGAGCCAGGCACCCCACCTCCAACAGCGGTCACCGCTGTTCATTTTTGGGGAGGCTTGACAATGCAGAAGCGGCATTTGACAACATGACAATGGTAACACTCAATTCTCTCTCCCCTCACCATCTGTCACCGGGACACAGCTCGCGGGCCTGCCAGGCAAGGCTGTTACCACGGAAACTGCCGGGTGTTGGTCTCCGGCTCTGTCTCCAGTTCTGTCTCCAGCAGGACACTGCTGCGCAGTCCCAGGGCTTCTCCTCTCTAAGACCAGTCTCACAACCTGGAAGCAAGGACGGACACTTCAGAGCACAGCCCAAAGGGGCACCCTTCACACCGCAAATGCTTCTCCCTTGTCTGATTCTTTTGGGTAAGCGGTTTCATGTGAATGTCAACTTGAAATCTCCAGATTCTCCCATTTGCTGAGATCTAGACCTAGATTGCCCCCTGCACCTTTAGACAAGTGCATCTGGAGGGAACACGTGCATGGCCAATTCGGCAGATGCAGTGCCAGCACCTTCTCTCTCCACTCCTTGCTCACCATCTCCTCTCCCCCTCTTCCTAAAACAGGCCTCCCTTGCTTTTACTCCCAGGGAACAGGGAACCACTCCCCCATTACCCGCCAGGCACTAGCCCTGAAGGGGTCCAGCTCTTCCCCTTCTGCCCTCCCAATATCCATCTGGTTTCTACAGTTCACAAATTTCCCATAGCCTCTTCCTTGGTTTTCACTCCCACTGCCAGCGCTGAGGGACCCCAGTTAACTCAGTTTGCTGAATCATAGTATTTCCAGCTCTGTTGGCCCACCCATTGTGGCTAATAGATGGATTTAATTGCAAGTGCCACATCCTTAATTAAAAGTCTCCAATGTCAGGGTCAATGTGGTAGCATACAAACTAATCCTCTCCCTGTGATGCTAGCATCCCACATGGGTTCAAGTCCTGGATTTTCCTCTTTCAATCTGGTTCCCTAGTTATGGTCTAGGAAAGCAGCGAAAGATGGTCCAGATCCTTGGACCATTGTACCCATGTGGGAGACCCAGAAGAAGCTCCTAGCTTCTGGCTTCAGATCAGCTCAGCTCGGGCCACTGAGGCTGTTTCAGGCATGAACTAGCAGATCACTTTTCTATATGTAGCTCTGTCTTTCAAATAAAAATAAATAAATATTTTTTAAAAGTTTCTAATGGGGCCCGGCGCGGTGGCGCAAGTGGTTAAAGGTCCTCGCCTTGCACGCCCGGGATCCCATATGGGCGCTGGTTCTAATCCCGGCGGCCCCGCTTCCCTTCCAGCTCCCTGCCTGTGGCCCGGGGGGGCAGTCGAGGACAGCCCAAGGCTTTGGGACCCTGCACCCATGTGGGAGACCCGGAAGAGGCTCCTGGCTTGGGATCGGCATAGTATCGGCCCATTGCGCTCACTTGGGGAGTGAATCATTGGACGGAAGATCTTCCTCTCTCTCTCTCCTCTCTGTATATCCACCTTTCCAATGAAAAAAATAATAAAAATAAATCTTTAAAAAAAAAAAGTTTCTAATGCTTTGTATCCTCTAAAACTCATGCCCATAAAGCGCAGCATCTCAGGTCCATGCCAGTCTGCCTCCTTCCTTTCTGCTGTTATTCCCCACCCTTCTTCCCCACAATGCTGGGTACCTCTGTTGCTCAGTGGTCAGACAGCACCCAGAAGCTTTAGAGAAACCCCAGGCTTCCATGCAGGCACCTGGGTCGTGCTTCCATCCTTCTGCTAACATTGCCATTCAGCACCCACGCCTTGAGTGACAAGCCCTACCTGTCATCATTTCCCATGGGTCATCCAAGCAGCCTCCCTGGCCAAGTTCATTAGCAAGGGTCTGAATAACCTATCTCAAGGCCTGCCAACCAAGGTCACACCTATGAGCAAACTCCATCATAAACTAGCAGACTATGTTTTGGGGAAAGGGAACAAAAGAGACCAGAATTTAATCTTTGCTGGAATTCTTTCTGTCTCTGCTGACCAATGACGCTAGCTCCAAGGCTCAGGGAGCTTAGAGCGATTAAAGGCTTCCACCCTGAGACAGAGGAGCACATGTGGACTGGACATGCCAGGGCAGCACTGCAGGGAACAAAGTACTCAGTTGAGTGGATGGCTCTGGTGTCCTAGATTTCTACATCACTGAGATCAAAAGAATCCCTGGGAAGCCCGCCCAGGCCCTGGAAGGTGTGAACTCAGGGCAGTGGGGCATGCCATGAGCTAGGGGTAGGTGGGCATGAGTTGGAGGGAGGGAGGGAATGAGGGAGGGGAGAGGGCCTGAGAGCAGTTGGAGCTGCTGATCAGCAGGGCGTAGGAGGCACAGCCCTTGATGACGACATCACCGGCTCCTCGGTCTATCAGCTCTGTTCCACTGTCTGATTCCAGGAGCCAGGCAGGCAACAAGCAGGCTTGTCAAGGCTATTTATAGGGGGTGAGGTTTCTGCCTGGAAACATCTGTCTGCTGCCTCCTGCATTTCCCACGGGCAAGCAATAGAGAGGAAGAAGCACAAGAGAATAAAACAGAGAAGAAAGGTGGCCTCCTTCCCAGCTGGGGCAACTGCTGATGCTGATGACATTCTGGAAAGTTCTAGAAGGAAAGGGGGCACTCACCTGGCCAGGGCCCTTGAGGCACTGCACTGCCTGCTTGTGGGTGAGGCCACACAGGCTCACACCATCCACCTGCAGGAGCCGGTCACCTGCAAAGGGGGGATGCCTGTCACATCCTGGGCTTCTGCAGCTGCCAGGAGGGACCCTGGAAGAAGCAACAGGAAGCAGAGTTGCCAAGATACTACCCAGGGGCCTCTTGGAACATACTCACTGCCTTCTTCTGAGATACACATCAGATTAATGCCGTAAAAGCCTTTCTATTACTGGCTCACAGCGGGCTTGAATCAGGTCTGCTCCAAAGATGGCCTCCCTCCTGTTTGTGAAACTATATTTGAAAGTACACTCAGGTTGCTCAGGAGTAACATGTATTATCTCTTGGGTTTTTTGTTTTTGTTTTTGTTTGTTTTTTGAGAAGGTTGGGGATATAGGATTGATGTTTAGGACACCAAAATTTCAAGAGCAGATATGGATCAATAAGGTGTCGTTTTTGAGTCAATTATGACTCAAAATTGAGACAACAATACAAACTTTTTAAACCCTTCTGAGCAGCCACACAGCAGTCAGGACAGAGAGAAGACTGGTCATGTCCCCTCCCAGTGCCAGCTCTGTCTTCCCAGGGAAAAGCCGAGAGGGAGAATGGCCATGCTTGGAGGCTGCAGTGGTGACACCACAACTTCGTCCCATAAAAGTTAAACAAGAATGCACTTCACTTGCATCTCCGGGTTTTCTGCCACCTCGTGCTCCCCCAGTGAGCTATGACAGACATTCCACCTGAGGTTTCAGGGAAGAAGCAGGGCAAGATCTGAGGCTGTCCCCTCTTCTTCCCCCTCTCCCTGCTGCTGTCCAGGGTCTCCAACCCAGGGCTCCCGCTGCGACACCACCCTCACCATGCAGGATCTGCCCTTCCTTGGCGGCGGGACCTCCAGGAACAATGGACTTCACATAGATGCCTCCATCGCGCATACTGGTGTTGATGCCACCCTGGAAAGAAGCACGGAAAAAATTCACCACCTGTGTGCTTCCTCCTGATGGGGGAGTCTCTCCTTGGCTAAAGGACACACTCCCCATCTATTGTCCATCTCATTAAGCCCTCACTGTCTGATACCTCTCTATGCACTTGTTTAGACTATATTCCCCACTGAGCCATGAAGCTGGGTGTTCACGCGGAGCACAGCGATACAAGCTGTCCTCTGGCCTAGCAAGTGTTCCACCTGTAGGCTCAGACAACTGCAGATAAAAAATGTCTTTTAAAATATATCTGTATAGCGACACTCCTTGGTTGCTCAAACCTGTACAGTGGACAGCATGCGCAGATGCACACGGGGGACATGACAGCTCATTGAGGCCTGCAGAGGATGTCTAGTACCATGGAGAGCAGAACAAATTGCACAACTCTCTCAGCCAAGCTTTGACAACAACTATTTGCATGAGCAGAGACTCTAAGCAGGACTATGTCAGCCAATGGACCTTGGAAGGATTTCCTCATTCTTAGAGCAACAAAGTCAACAGTGTCTCACAACTGTCAAAGCCACTTAGGCAGTACCCTTGGAACATGCTCCATATCAGGATGACATTAAGTGGCCATCCTCCAACCCCAGGTACTGATACAGTTGGGCTGCTGGGAATGGCCTTCTCCCCTTCTTTCCCAGCTTCACCCATATACAGGAGGAAAAAGAAAATTGGAGGCAGCTGTCTCACCTACTTTCCTCCATGCCTTGACTGTTCCCTCACTAGTCAGTAATCCACATAGGTATGTATCCTTCTCAACTATGTAAACATCATCAAAAATAACATAGATTAATTTTTTTAAAGTCTGTATTGGGGCCAGCACTGTGGCACATCTGGCTAAGCCTTCATCTGTAACACCAACATCCCATACAGGCCACTGGTTAGACTCCAGCTGCTCCAGTTCCAACCCAGTTCCCTGCTAATCTGCCTGGGAAAACAGCAAAGGATGGCCCAAGTGCTTGGGGGCCCCGCCACCCACGTGGGAGATTCAGAAGAGTCTCTGACTCCTGGCTTTGACCCTGCCCAGCTCTGGCCATTGCAGTCATTTGGAGAAGAAGCATGGATAGGAGATGTGTCTCGCCGTCTCTCCTTCTAACTCTCCCTTTCCAATAAAAATAAATAAACCCTAAAAATGTGTCTATATTGAATATGGACACACTTTTCTTCCTGTCATTATATGCCCCAACAATACAGTACCACAAAAATGTGCATAGCAGTGTATACAGAGCTGTGCAGGTGCTGGGCAAAGCATGCCGTTGAGTTTAACGGACTTGAGCATTGGCAGATTGGGGAATCCATAACTGCCCTAACCCTCTGCAGAGATAGCCATGTCAGTGAACCAAGTGGCAGCCCCAGTCCCAGCAAGGGCACACAGGAGGTGCTCGCTAACTAGAGCTCCACAGAGCACACAGAGTCTGGCTGTAGGCTTCTGCCAAGGTAGGTGGATTTACTCATGAGCCTCGAGGATTCGCCTTGTGCCTGGCACCTCATGGACACCTGTGTGTTGGTCTGTGGATGCACATATAAAATCAAACTGCACAGTATTCTGCAATTCTTTTTTAAACACTGCATGTTCATAGAGCAAGATGTAACTATATTTTCCTTCTGGTTGATTGAATATATTCATACACGCACATACCCAAATTTTCATACCAACAACACTGCATCATTGTTGGACAGTCTTTTTCTTCCTTTGTCAATTTTACTCTTTACTCATTTGTGGCCACTACCTCCCAACTCCAGCACTGGTCACATATTGACAGCTAGTAATACTGGGATGTATATCCTCATATCCTTCTCCATTTTTCTCCATGCTCACATCATCCCATAGAGAAGGCTTAAGAAATACCTTTCTGGGTTTTTTTACTTAGCATGATGATCTCATCACATCCATCTTATAAATATCAGAATTTCATTCTTGCTTATGTCTGACACACACACATATCACATCGTCTTTACCCATTCATCTATCGATGGACATCTAGGCTGAGTCTGTGACTTTCCTATTGTGAATAATGCTTTCATTGGCCTAATTCATTTCCTTCGGGTATAGTCCTAGAATTGAGATCACTGGGTCATATGGTACCTCTGGTTTGGCTTAAGGAGAACTCTCCACTCTTTTCCATAATGGTTGTACTAAATAACGTGCCTACCAGCTGTGTACGGATGGTCCTTTTCTTCACAACCTGAGCAGCATTTGTTGGCTTTTGTGCTTTTGATGATAGCTATGATATTTTTATTCAAATTATTCAAAACTCGATTGAAACTAGGCTTTCCAGCATTGCTGATGTCAGTCTTCAAAGCAGCCCAACTCCAACCAAGGGCCTATAGTACACCTGCCAAGCCAGCTGCAGAGGTAAGCTCCAGCCCTGGCTTGTTTAGTGGACTTCTGCTTTGCCCGCTGTCTAGCTCCTCCACGTCCTGGGCCTGTCACCTTGTTCAGCGTGCTGTACAGTGTGCTGACGCTTTCCCACGCCAGTCCAATAGCATCCAGCTTCATTTTGAACCACCAGTTGATGGCCTTCAACTCTTATCATCACAGATAAACACACAAACTCGAGCTGGTGTATGCCTTGCATGTTTCTATCTTGCTATCTGACTTGCTCAATAGCTACCTCCTAGCAATCTTTGCATGGGGCTGGAGCCAGGTCTGATCCACTTATTTTTATGGCAACAGCTTCTCAGCATAAGTACATGTACTGCAGCACAGGCACCCTCTCTGCCATTGTTCCCTCCTCTTTTCTCTGAGTTTTTGGCCATTTCTAACAGTACTTCATTCATTATCTGCAAGTTGTACAGCCTTACTTATCGAGGCTCTGATTTTGATGTGGGCACTTCAAAAAGTCTGTGGAGGGGCCAGCATTGTGGCACATCTGCTTAAGCCACTAACTGTGGTACTAGCATCCCATCTGTACACTGGTTCGAGTCCCAGCTACTCCATGTCACAACTAGCCCAGAAATGCAGCTGGAGATGATCCAAGTGTTTGGACCCCTGCTACTGTCAGAGAAAACTCAGATGGAGTTGCTGGCACCTGGCTTTGGCCAGGCCAAGTCCAGATCATTGCTGCCATGTGGGAACGAAGCAGTGAATGAAAAACCTCTTTCACTTTCATCTTCCTTTCTTTCTCTGTCACTCCACCTCTCAAACAAATTAAATGAATTTTTTTAAGTTGGTAAAAAAATGGAATTTTAAGATAAGTTTATTTTGGTGCAAAAATGAAAATCTAGCTATAATTCTTCATGTGTTTCCACAAATTTTTTGAAAATACATTATATTCATAAATTCCCATAATTTTGCACCAAAATAAGTTTATCTTTAAATGCCATTCTTCTGTAAACTTCTGAAATCTCCTTGTATTTCTTGGGCCAGGGATACGTACATACTTCATTGTAATTGATGTTACCAGATGGCACTGCCTTATTGAATATGAATACACATTTAATTATTCACACTTCTCCAAGCTCTGTGTGAGAGTATCCTTTCTTTGCACTCTGTCAGTTATATTTGGCTAAGTGCATGGATATAAAGTTAAAAATTGCATTTCATCTTAACTTGTAGCCCTACACTTTTTCATGAATTTTAGCTCTTTCATTTATTTAACAGCCATTTGAATTTTAACAAGCCATCTCAAAAATTATTTTTGAAATTAAATTCCCCCAAAGAAACGCCCACTATTTTGCCAGCTGAAGGAAATCACCAACCTCCCTCCAGTCTATGAATAATCCATATTTGAATAATCCAAAACCCAGCAGGTTTTTCAGATGAGAGATTGCTATGTTTGGTGTCTGATCAGATCGTTACTCCAAGCCAAGAATACATTGACCATACTTGGTATCAAACTGTTCACTCCATGTGGACTCAAAGAGCCCTAGCTCTTGGCTTCTTACTTGCTTCCTTCAAGCCATCTGCTGAAGACAAGTTTATGGCCAGCTGATGGTGCAGGAACCCAGGGACCCTTACTTACACATCAGCATCAGGATGGGAAGCAAGGAATGGCCCCCATCTCCTTCTCCCTTGGGTCTCCTTTGGAAAGTTTTCATTGGTCGCAGTTTTTCCTTCCCTACTGGGAAACCCCATGTGGTTTTCAATCAACAATGATATGTCTAAAATCTAGATCCATTCTAGGGTCTCAAGGTGATTTTCAAAGCTCAGTGAGAAAAAAAAAAAAAAGAAAAGAAAGAAAAGTAGGTTCCAATCTCTGACCTCTAAATTGCCATTTCCTTTATGTTTGTGTTCCACAGGCCTGAGTGTAATCACAGTGACACAGGCAAGCTTCCCCTTTGGGGGTCTAACAGGTTGAGCTCAGAAAGCAAAAGCCAAGTGCTGGTCTCCGTGGAGGTCTGGCCAAATGGACTTTTGGATTACCCCATATCACACAGCCTAGCCTCAGAGATTCCACCCACACTGTCTCTTTTCATTTCTTGGACTTCGTAGTAACACCGTTGCTCAGTCATTTTTCTGATCAGCTCCTACAAACAGGCCCTGCCACTGACTTTTCTGATTCCCCCCTACTTCGAGACCCCTTGTATCCAATGGGCACATTGTCAGAGCAAAATGTCCAGCAACCAAAGCTCCTGAATGCACATGTTCTGACTTCTCCCCAAGCCCTCCTAGCAAATCTCACAGTCACGCTGAATCCAAGTGTCCCGTCTTCTTTCACCAGCTCCACAAAGTAGATTTCACCAACACCAGCTTCTAAAGGTGATGGAGAACTCGAAGAATCACCGGTATCCTGAACCAAACATACACGGAAATGAAGAAGGCGTGAGACTCACCTTGTCCCAGCAGATGGCACCCCCAGTCCCACAGCCTAAAAAGACCTTTCAGACTGCAACACCAGGGACAACTTCAGTTTGATCTGTCCCTCCCCTAGTGACATTGAACAAGTCTCCAAGTCTTTCCAGCGTGTGTCCCCAATCCTGAGAAATGGTATAGGAGATCCCCTCTCCTAATGCATGCCCAGCAGATGCCAAAAGATCAATAAATGTGGGATGCTCCTATTTCCACGCATGATACAAATGTCCATGTTAGAATGAAAGCCATCCCAGGTACTTCCTCCTAGCTTTGCACCTGATGCCTAGTGATAGGACACTGGGTATGGGATGCATGATTTCTTGAAGTAGAAGAAAGTAGAAATAAGACTTTGGTCATGCCTAGCAAAAGTGGCTCTACTGAATTTTCACTAGACAGTGATTTATTGTTTTAGGGTAAAAACAGAGAAAACAATCCCTTCTACACATGCCCATTGGCAATGTGTTCATTCATTCACTCAATCATGCAAAAAGGTTTATTGAGCACCTGCGATGCCACAGGTTCCATTGGTTTGAACTTCACCTCTAAAGCTCATGTGAAAATTTCGTTGCCACTGTGATGCCATCAAGGGGTTCAATGTCTAGAATGTGTTTAGTTGCACCAGACGTAGTCCCTGAATGTTCAACTTTCCAGCCTCCAGAACCACAGGTCAAATAAATTTCCAGTGTTTATCATTTATCTGGGCTGTGCTGCTCTGTTGTAACAGCAGAAAGTGAACTAAGATAGAGGCGTTATGCTGTCTGCTGGGGAGTTGGCAGTGATAAGCTACACCAGTCCACGTCAACCTACAGTCTAACATAACAGAGGTTTTTCACACAGAGATTTCCAACTAACTCACCGGCAACCATTGTGATAATAAGTGTGAGTCTGGTAACATGCACATTATCACCCAGAAGGTCAGAGACCAGCCAGGAAGGAAAAAAACTGGAATGTGAACCTAGGTGTCAGGGAATGATGTCTCTGCCAGGCACGGGCAGGGAAAGAGGAAACAAAGCATGTGCCAGACCGGGCTAGCCATCACTTCCTGACAGAGCATGCCTGGATCACTGCACGCAGCAATGGGCTGTCATATTCCCACTCTTTCATCTTGCCTGCCTCCTTGCCTTGGTGTTTCCTGGTCATCAAGATGGTGAATACTCTGAACACAGAGGAAAATAAGCAGACTGAAGAAAACTGGAAAATGATCACCCCCCCAGCAGAAAGGGTTCCAAAGAGACAGGGAGAGTAGCAAATAGAGCCAACCCCCTTCACACTTCAAGGACTCCACACTCATTGATCTGCCATGGTGTCCAATATGGACACTGAAATTCAAAGAATGAAGCAACTCTTCATGTGTAAGATGACACCCAAGATGAGAGTGTAGATGGATTCAAATAGTTCCATAGAACTTGACCCGGATACAAAGTTGGCCAAAGGACCCACAAGAGGCAGATGATCCAGTTTCCACACAGCCTGTGCTGTGTTCATCTGTGGCCTCAGCACATCACCAACCTCAACCACTTCCCAGAAATCACTGCCACGTTCCTAGCACCAGACTCCCCAGCCTAGACAAGGCCCTCTCTGATCTGTTTCCTGCCCAAGGGGTCAGTCCAAAGAGCAGCCTAGGGTGACGCAGACCAACTCCTTGGCTCTGCTGCCTGCACCCTGAGAGATCTAGCCTTAATTCTCAGTGCCTCTGTTATCCTGCTTATGAAAGGGGTAGATGATAACACTTATCTCACAGGATTGTCATGAAGCAGGTAGACTGCTCAGACCACTGCCTGGCCCCTAAGTAGGTCCTCAATAGATATCAGCTCTCCCCAGAACTCTTGGGCCAGCCCTCCTGAGTGCAGCTCTTCACAGCAGGCACTGAGTGAGCACCGTGGCCAACCGGAAGGAACACATAGCCATGCAGCCCTACTGCACACCTGCTTCTGGGGTTTGGGACATGCTACCGCCAAAGAGCACGGCACCTTGATGCAGCAAGTATTTTCAGGAGAAGGAATCTCAGAAATATCATGTTCAGGGTCCCCCAGTTTAGTCACACTCTCTCTCCCATCACATTTCTCCATGATTTTGCACCATGCCTCGACCTGCTACAAATCACACTCGGAAGTCTTCATCCCCTTACCAAAAAACAAAAATAATTTATAAAAGAGAGTGCTCACAGGACGCATACAAAATAAATGTGTATGTTTTTTTTTCTTGTTCACCTGTCATTTGTTCCAAGCTTTCCCTCCTGCCCTTCACCCACCTAATGAACATAGGGTAAAAAAAAAAAAAGGACATTTTTCCAGTCTTATCAAACCATAATACTTTTATCTCCACAGTTCTGTAGACAAGCATTGTTACTTTCAATCATAAAGAAAAAAGAACAAATGAGTTGAGAGGGAGGGGCTAACTAGCCTGTGTCAATCACAGTTCCTAGCAGGAATAAGAACACACGCTCACCCTAGGCGAGGGAGAGGCTTGTACAAGGCCTCTGTTCAAAGGCTTTCAACAGTGGGAGCCGCTCCAAGCCCCAAGCTGACAGTCAAGAGGAGGGAGTGACCCAGCGAGTGGCTCGGTCCGCCTCGCAGCCCAATCATAGGATCCTACAAGGGCTTCTTTGGACAAAACTAACCAAAGGATGGGGCTGACATCTTCCCAGAAGGTTGGCCATGCAGATCCTCAGCACAGTGCAGAGACTGCAAAAAGGGTTTGGAAGAGCCAAGGGAGACCACCCACCGGATACTCAGACATCTGATGCACAGCCAAGCAGGGGCTACATGAAATCAAGTCAGACTTGATCGGATTCCTCCATGGGGTGCTTGTCAGGAGCAAATCTGCGGAGATGGGACCTGGCACAATGGCTCAGCAGCTAAAACCTCACCTTATGCGCATCGAGATCCCATAGGAGCACTAGTTTGCATCCTGGCTGCTCCGCTTCCAATCCAACCCCCTGTGTGTGACTTGGGAAAGCAACAGAGAATGATCTAAAGCCTTGGGATCTTGCACCTGCGTGGGAGACCCAGAGGAGGCTTCTGGCATCAAATTGGCTCAGCTCCAGCCACTGTAGCCCTTTGGGGAATGAACCAGTGGACGGAAGATCTTTGTCTCTCTTTCTCTCTGTAAATCTGCCTTTCCAATAAATAAATAACTCTTAAAAAAAAAACATAGAGGTGGCAGCTTAAGGACCAACAGAGGTCAAGAATACAAGATGCTTTGTTGCCTAGGCCTCGCCCAGGCTGCTATCGATTTTCCTCGGGTTTACACTGCCAGAAACATCTCCAACTACAGTTGTCTTGCCTTTACTCACTGTTCAGTCATCCACAATGGAGGCCCAAAAACATTAAATGGAAAAAAAATCATAGAAATAAATTATTCCTAGGCTTTTGGAATGTCTTTAGGATATTGTTGTTATCGGTCTGTCTTGTGATTGTTAAATAGTTCATTTATAGATTAGCTTTATCACAAGCCAGTATGTGCAGAAGTATACGCAGCGTTTGGTACCATCTGAGGTTTTTGGCATTCTCTTGGGGGTCTCCCGAGGGTGAGGAAAAGCTACCACCTTGGCTCCTCACGCTCTTCCACCTTACAGATGAGCAAACTGAGGTAGTTCAGCAACTTGCCCCTTGCCCCAGTACGGCTCATCTAGAACAAGGACAGGCCCAGAGGCTAGGCTGTCAGACTCCACACACAACCTGTTCTCCAAGTTCTGGAAAGACAGCCATGGAGGTGATTACCTTTAATGGCAGAGATGGGAGCTGAGACGTCAACCCAGGCATTGAGCTCTGCACTGGAGCTACATTCAGCTCGCCAACATTGCCGTCCTGATCCTGCGTGTGTGACAGCAAACTGTCCTGGTGTCCGCTGCTCAGGAAGTCTGCACAAAAGAAGGCAGAGTCAGCTGTCCTTTCCTTTCCTTCACCCTGAGTACTGCTGCCAACAGCTGTTAAAACACATCAAGGAGAAGTCAACAACGTGAGAAGACTGGCATCTTGTTGGCATCTCTACCTGGGGCACAGTCTTTCTCCAGTGACACAAACACCATTTGCCCCATTGGGAATGACGTGAATACCGCGCCTCATGGAAGGATATTGCACCTACGGTAGAGAAAAATGAAGATTCTGGGTGTGCTTTCAAAACCTAAATAGAGCTGGTATAACTCGGTCACAAAACATTGGGAGTCACAGAGAGCAGATTTTGGCTGCTCTTCCTTAGGAAGCTCTGGTCACATGAAGGACATGAAGACAGAGATAGACAGATTGGTCGAGAGAGAGAGAAGAGAGAGAGACAGAGGATAAATAAATGAGATAGATGATAGCTATAGATACTGATAGATGTGGATAATGAAAGTTAATAGATATGAAGACCGGCTACTCGCAGCAGGGGAAGGCATTACCTTTTGACTGAGAGATGATTAATTCGATGGTGTCAGGAGAATTCTGAATCATCTTAACAGCCGTGTCGAACGTGAAACCCTCCAGATGGATGTGATTCAAGGCTAGGATCCGCCCTCCTGGAAAAATGAACTGTGTCAAGGGCGCAGCAAGGAAGGAAGCGTGGGTAGCGTTACTGGCAGCGGGAGAACACTACCTGGTCTGATGGTTTTCGCCTTCTCTGCCGGTCCCCCGGGTATGATAGAGGATATAAAAATGCCAGGGTGGGTGTGGTGCGCGTCTTCTCCCTCCTTGTTGACGAAACCTGCAACTCAAGACAGTCACGTGACTGATGTCACAGAGTAATCAGCTTGCTAGCTTGAGCTCACAAATACCGCAGTGCCGGTTCAAGTCCCAGTGCCGCCACTTCTGAGCCAGCCCCTTGCTGATGCAGCTGGGAAAGCAGCTGGGCCCGAGTGCTTGGGCCCGAGTGTTCGGGCCCCGTGTCGGCCATGTGGGAAACCTGGATGGAGTTCCAGCCTCCCGGCTTCGGAGTGGCCCAGCCTGGACCTTTGGGGAGTAGAATCGGTAAATAGAAGATCTGATTCTCTCTCTGTTCCCCACCACCACCACCACCCTCTTCTCCCAAGCCCTGTCACTCTGCTTTTCAACAGCAACAACAAAATCTCCTGAGGATGGTCTTCTGGTATATCAAGTTAAACTTCTGCCTACAAGACCAGCTTCCCATGTGGGCTCTGAGACAAGTCCTGGCTGCTCCACTTCTGATCCAGCTGCCTGCTTAGGGACTGAGAAAACAGGGGAGGACACCCCAAGTATTTACCCCCTGCACCGACATGAGAAACCCAGAAGAAGCTTCTGACTTCTAGCTTTGGCCTGGTCCAGCCCTTCCAACAGATAAAAGATATTCTTTCTCTCTCTCTAAAGGCAGATTTACAGAGAGAAGGGAGACAGAGAAATAGATCTTCCATGGATTGGTTCACTCCCCAAGAGGCCACAACAACCAGTGCTGAGCTAATCCAAAGCCAGGAGCCTCCTCTGGGTCTCCCACTCAGGTGCAGTGTCCCAAAGTCCTTGGGCCATCCTCTGCTGCTTTCCCAGGCCACAAACAGGGAGCTGGAAGGAAAGTGGAGCAGCTGGGATACAAACCGGTGGCCATATGGGATCCCAGCACGTGCAAGGAGAGGACTTTAGCCACTAGGCTACCATGCTGGGCCCAAAAATAAATAAATCTTAAAAAAAAAAAAAAAACTATGCAAGGATTCCAGAATTTTCTGCACCAAAGTATACTTCTTTTTTCATTTTAATTTATTTTTTTCCCATCAATTTTCCAAAGTGGCCTTATATAGTCTAGTAAGTACGGGACCAGCATTGGAGGACAGCGAGTTAAGCCACTATCAGGCTATGATACTGGCATCCCATATTGCAGTGCTGGGTATAGTTTCAGCCACTCTGCTTCCGATCCAGCTCCTGCTGATGAAGCAGGGGAGGCACTGGGAGGCCACCCAAGCACTTAGAACCCTGCCACCCTCGTGGGAAACCTGCTTGGAGCTGTAGGTTCCTCACTTCAGACTGACCCAGCTTCAACCATTATCGCCATTTGGGGAGTAAACCATGGATGGAATGTCTCTCTCTCTGTGTGTGTGTCATGTTGCCTTTCAAATAAATAAAGCTAATCCTCAAAGAAACAAAGTTTGTTATGTGATATTATTAAAAAAAAAATCTTTCTATTTTGAGCTTACATGCACCCCAAATATCCATCAGGCCTACAAGAAAACTTGCCCTGGGTCTCCCTGCGGTTTTCTCCCTCTCTCATTTTTTTAGATTTACTTATTTCTATTAGAAAGTCAGATATACAGAGAGAAGGACAGACAGAGAAGATCTTCCGTCTGATGATTCACTCCCCAAGTGACCACAATGGCTGGAGCCTAGCCAATCAGGAGCCAGGAGCTCTTTCGGGTTTCCCACACAGGTGCAGGGTCCCAAGGCTTTGGGCCGTCCTCTACCGCTTTCCTAAACCACAAGCAGAGAGCTGGATGGGAAGCGAGGCTGCTGGGATTAGAACTGGTGCCCATTTGGGTCCCGGTGTGTCCAAGGTGAGGACCTTATTCTCCCTCTCCTAAAGGGGGAAAAATGCGTGTGAGCGCTGAAAAGGGCAAATTGGGACAACAGGATAGGAAAGAGAGTGAAACTGGAACAGTGGCCCCACATCCTAAGCCCAGTGGGAGAGGCCTCACCTGCGGGGAAGCTCCTTACCAAAACCACGGAGGGGATCGCGCCTCAGCATCACGTGTACCACTTCTTGACCTGGTTCCAGTGCAAAGCCTTTCCTGCTTTTACCTTGTGATGCTGTAAGTGGAATCATAGCACCATATTGTGCTCAAATTACGGGGCACATACTAAGGGAGCAGAGTATCACACACACACACACGCACACATATACACCTGCACATACATGCATACCATCCATATGCCATATGCACACACACATGCACACACAGTGCACACATGAACACCCAGGCCACTCACAACACACACATTTACACACACACTTCCATAGAGTCAATCACGTTAATATTCCAATCCACAGAAGCAGAACACCAAACGCAGATGAGGGCATTCAAAAAGCTGGTGAAAAAAATGGAAGTAGAGTTTGAGTTTATTCTGGTGCAGAAAAAGAAATGAAATCCCTGCAATTTTTTTTTCATAATATTCACTTTCCAGAAACTTTTTGAAGCTCCTTCATCTGTGTGGATTGCAAAAATTCCTTACGCCACTAAGAAATATAACTTTTAATGCTATTTGCCACAGGTCCCCTGGGTCGGCATCATAGATGGCTGGGCTGCAGGAGCAGGGCCAGGATAGGCTGGGCTGCGGGACCCATGTTTATCTGTCTTGGTCTGGAGACACAGCACAAGATAAGCAGAGATGCAGAGGCTAGAAATGACAACCAAAACACCGTCGGACAGCGATGGGGTGGCAGCCTGGGCCTGGGTGTCCTGAAGCCCTGCCCTCAGCATGGAGCTTGGGGGACATTCAAAGCAGAATCCCAAGACCATTTCCTGCAAGTGGGACTCCTGGGAGGGCTTGTCACCATGCATAAGGAAAGACTCTCAAGTGGCCACTGCCCACTCATCCCTTGTCTCTCCTTCCCCTGGGACCAGGGTGGCACTGGCCAGAGCAGGAAGGAAAGAATGACCTGGTGGAATCCAGATGTAGTCCCCAGGCATTGTGCTCATTGGGGATCAAAAAATGTCCCTTGCTATGGGCTGTCTCTGTCTTTCCATCCAACTGGGAACTTGTCAGAAGGAAGAATGTCTGCCCAGAGTATGTCTTCTGCTGAGCCCTGCAGGTAGAAATTTGGGGCCTGTGTGAAGGAGCAGAGCTGAATGGGTGGTACTGTTTCCCATGTATGCCTCTCTGTGACAGGTGCTCCTCCTCCTGGCCCAGAGCTCTGGAAATGCCTACACTGGACTCACTCAGTTCAGCTCCAGGCACCCAGCCAATTCCTGGCATGGACCATCTTCCCAAGCACTGGCACTTTCAAAAATAGTCATAAAAGAGCAAGAAGATGGGGCAGCATAGTAATGTATCAGGCTAATCCTCTGCCTGCAGAACCAGCACACCATATAGGCACCAGTTCAAATCCTGGCTGCTCCACTTCAGACCCAGCTCCCTATTTATGGCCTGAGAAGGTAATAAAGGATGGCCTAAAACCTTGAGACCCTGCTCCCACATTGGAGTCCCAGAAGTAACTCCTAGCTCCCAGTTTTGGATCAGTCCAGCTCTGACTATTGTAGCCATTAGGGGAGTAAACCAGCAGATGGAAGATCTCTCCATATCTTTCTCTCTCTTTCAAGAAATATAAATATTTTAAAAAAACATAAAGATAGATAACATGATTGGGAAAGCAAAACAAAGTGGTCGCAGAAGAAGAAAAGCAAGATAACCCCCTGACCCTGGCTGTGTCGTGGTCCCTACCCAGGCTCATGCTGGGAACAGGCAGCCCTGGGAGACGGTCAACACACGTCGCTGGCCTCTGAATCAAGCGGACCTCCGGCAGTTGTTCCCAGCCAGGGCGGGGGCTGTGGGGAAAAGCCACAAGGTCAGATCAGGTACCCTTAGGAGGGAACTTCCAGGCATTTCAGAGTGTGTACGGTGGCCTGGAAGAGCCACACTCATTCCCTGTCACCCAGCACATCCACAGCTGGACCCTGTCAGGGGCTGACTTGGTGAGCGGAAGGCACAGGCGAGCTTGAAGGTCTCAGAGGACACACTGCTCTCACTTCGTGGAGCCTTCTGCTGTCCACACCCCTGCACAGAACTTCATGTCCTCAAATGTAAACCAGAAGCCAACCCTGGATGTCCAGGTGTGTGAGGACACCAAAGGCAGATCCTCGGCATCCAGCCCCAGTGCTTGTGGGGTCCCTGCCTTTTGGCATCTGTCCTTGAGAAGGTATCTGGCACACTCCTGCACCTCTCCTATATAAGCACCTGCCAGTCTCCAGGACCTGTCTGGGAAGAGAGCCCCACTAATCCTCCATGCCAAGATCAAAAACTTTTCTAGTAGGCCTTCAGTTGGCCTCGGCTGAGTGAGCAGTGGTTGGTACATCAGGAGTGTTCCAGGCATTGAGAGAAGCCAGATAACATCATGAACAGAAGAAAGCGAGTGACAGAAAGGGGACAATAGCAAAGCGAGGGATGCTGCTTGGAGCCACAGCAGAAGCTGGGTCCAGGCTTCCAGGCCAGCCAATACTGAGTGATCTCCCTTGGTTGCCATATTATTGTCCTCACCATGGAACCTGCCTCATCTCCTAGCTTTGTGCAGCTGGGCCATGGCAGAGGATGCTGGCATGGGTGGCTGCCCTGGGATACTCTCACTGAGCTCTCAGAGCAGTGATCCAGGGCTCTGGGCGCAGAGCCTGGCACTGTTGGAGTGGGGAGGGGGTTGGAGGTGGAGCTAGCAATGAAGAACAGGAGTACGGGGAAGAGACGTTAGGCAGAGAGGAGGCTGAGGGCAAGGCCTGCGTCCACAGTTTCTTCTGCCTCGGCGGTCTGAGGCAACAGGTTCAACTCAAGCTGGCTGGGAACCTAACTCAGAGTGAGGACCTGGACCCCAAGGCTTTGAGGGTGGAAGGGTGAATGAGGCTTGGAGCACCCAGCCAAGCATGGTTGGAGGGTAGATACCTTCTGCACCGGGCAGCGCCTGCCAAAGTGTCCTTGGCAAGGCACTCAAGCAGGAGAGGAGTCCCAGGAAGCTCAGAGGCTGCAAGAAGCAGGTGGCCTCTGCAGTAAAAGAAGGCCTTCACTGTGCCTCTGAACCAATCCCACTTGCGTCCACTTACATGATGTGCTGAGACAGTAATCAGGTTCATAGACAGAAAAGAGAATGGAGGGAGAGTCTCAGAGACTGAGGCCAGCATAGAAGGAGGAGAAATTTCCATGCAAGCAAATGGCAAGAGTCATGATGACGGCTGGCGGCAAGAGGACACAGTTATGTCGATAGACTAAAAATCACTGACCGGGAAACTCAAAGGCAACTGTAATGTTAAAATGTAGGAGCCATGTATCTTAGTATCTTACCACGATACCCTACAGGGCTGGCATTGTGGCTCAATGAGCTAAGCCACCATCTGCAGCATCAGCATACCATAGGGGCACTGTCTCGGAGAAGATAAGGGTCTTCTTTCTCAGGCGAGTGTCCTTCTTTCCAGCTGCTTTCCCCACCTACAGGGACACCCCACAGCCCCACAGCAGCGACTTTCCCTCCTCGCTCACCCACTCATTTCTTTCTGACTGCACCTACACAAGAGCTGCCTACACTCAAGTCACTGGCTCAGCCTGTGCCGGGGTTGGGGGGGAGCCATCTTCCAAGGGCCAGGGACTCAAACAGGGGTATCCTGTCATGCATTTGTACGTCAGTATTTCCAGAGACCTCTGCAGTGAAGTATTCAGGGCTGTGTAACTCTGGCATTCCTAGAGTGACAGTCATGCCAGATTTCTGAGATTTATTCTCCTTCTGCTGTCCACAAAGAAAAGTACCTGCTCTGCAAGAGCTCTACCGGGCCGGACCCCTGGCAGGCTTCAGCAAGCACCACCGTCCTCGCGTTCTCAAGACCTTGAGTCAAGGTGGGCTCGGCAGGGAGTTTGTGAGGGGCGAGGAGCTCAGGAGCTTCCCTGTGCCTGTGCTGCTGAAAATGCCATCCCTTCTGTGCCAACTTGACACACCCACTTCCCTGGATGCACCTGCCCCTCCTCCATCATGTGAGAAGGAGCTTGGATGAACTCATGTGTGCTGAGTTCCACAAGGAGATCATGAAACATTCCAGGATCAACACACACACACACACACACACACACACACACACACACACACACACACCACCCAAGCCGCACCCCACTTGCACATTCAGTGAGGACACCACCCCCTACAGGGTAAAAGGGGAGGTCAAGCCAGGGTAAAGGCAAGTCTCTCTCTTGAGGTTGCCCATACTGGTGTCTAAGTGTCTTTCAATAAATCCTGCTTTCAGCTCATCTATGTCTCTATCTCCTAGTAGACACACTGGGAGATAAAAACTTGGACCAAGGGTAGTTGGGGGTCTCCGAGGCTGGCCAGAGCTCTCCACCCCCACCACATAATCCAGGGGTCCCTGCCTCCACAGCCGCACCAGTCACAGCTTCTTTTCCCTCCGCTGAGCAAGGAAGGGCTCCAGAGCATCATCTGTTCCGATGGTGACACCCCTGGCACAAGGGGCAAAGTCTCTCTCCACATCTGTGGAATCTGCTGAAATGGCATATTTGCATCCTGAGAATCTGGTGCCATGCTTTCCTAAGCAGCACCTTGTGGGGTGGGGGGGTGGGTGTGGATCTGTGGGTGTGTGTGTGGAGGGGAGGTGTTTCAGTTCAAATGGACACGTGCTGAAGCCCATGTAAAACTCACTACCCAAGCAGCCTTTGTTGGCTGTGTGCTGCCTGGGGGAGCAACCTGTGCTATTGATAGAACTTGCAGTGTAAGTGTAATCCAAGTTCCAGGCTATTTTTATAAGTCTGTCTGCATCATAATGTGAAGTTGCACTTCCAAGCTCATTGCCTCCACACACCAATTAAAATTGCAAGCAGTCTTATGACAGGGAAAGTAACATAGTAAGAAGGTTAGGAGGAAGTGCAGTCTCTAGGTCAGCTGTGCGTTCCCCCCTCAGTTTCCTGTACCATTCAAGGGAAGGAATCATACAAACATTCCACAGGGCTGTGGGGGGTTGATGACACGGATGAGTGCTGAACAGAACTTGACCTAGCCATAAGCTCACCATACCTTGTTTATTTTGTCCGCTTCAATTTTCTATCACCCCCTGGTGCATTCATTCCCTACTGACAGCCAAAAGTGGGTGGTGGAGATGAGACACCTGCCCTAGAGCGTACAGTGCAGACTTAGCCCAGACCTGGCATTCGGCAACTCTCTGCAATCCGCTGACCAGGAGCCATGAATGGCTTTTCTTTAGACACTTGACATCCTTAAACAATGTGTCCAGATTGGGACCACGCCACAGCATGAAGCACAAGATCCCAGGATCAGGTGCATGAGTCTCTCACCTGTCTCTGATTCCCTCGGATCCAGCACCCTTGCCGGCTTCCACGTGGCAGTTGTCCAGTGAGGCACTCAGCAGGCCCCCCGTAGGATCCCGCAGCCTGGGTGTGAACAGCTCCTGTTCTGAGCACGCCCATCTCTGAGTCCATGGGAGGAGCGTGGGCTGGGCCTCAGGCTGGCATGCAAGACTCCAGTGGGCCTTCTGCACAGACTTGCTCGGCTCTAAAGACGGGGAGGAAAGAAGATAAACAGATGCAAGAACAGCATGACACTTCTTCTGTTACTCATGAAGCAGCAACGCGTGGGGACTTCAAGTTCATGGAAAAAGGACAGAAGAGATAAGTTTAGCTGTAGCCAAACCATATAGGAATCTATAGATACAAAGTATCTTCAAGGAATTCATGAAAGGTTCATTTTATATATGTGTGTGTATATCCATACAGTTAAATATATATAATATATATTAGATTATATGTATGTGTGTATGTATGTATAATTTTTAACTGCATGGGAGCTGGCATTGTGGCACAGTAGGCTAAGCCATCACCTGCAACACTAACATTTCTTATTGGTACAGTTCGAGTCCCACCTGCTCCATTTCTAATCCAGCTCCCTGCTTAGAAAGCAGTACAAAGGGCCTGGCGGCGTGGCCTAGCAGTTAAAGTCCTCACCTTGAACACGCCGGGATCTCATGAGGGCGCTGGTTCTAATCCCGGCAGCTCCATTTCCCATCCAGCTCCCTGCCTGTGGCCCGGGAAAGCAGTCAAGGACAGCCCAAAGCCTTGGGACCCTATACCCGCGTGGGAGACCCGGAAGAGCTTCCTGGCTTCGGATTAGCATAGCATCGCCGTTGCGCTCACTTGGGGAGTGAATCATCGGACGGAAGATCTTCCTCTCTGTGTCTCCTCTCTGTATATCGAACTTTCCAATAAATAAATAAATCTTTAAAAGGAAAAAAAAAAGCAAGCAGTACAAGATGATCTAAATACTCAAGCCTTTGCACCTGCATGGGAAACTGGATGGAGTTCCAGGCTCCCAGCTTCGACCTGGCCTGGCCCCAGCTGCTGCTGCCTCTTGGAGGGCAAACCAGCACATGGAAGATCTCCCTCACACTCTAGCTTAGCCTTTGAAATAAATATAAATCTTTTTTTCTTTTAATCTCTGCATGGATTTCAAACATCTTTGTACCAAAACAAGCTTCCTCCTTTCAAGTCTGTCTTCCCCAAAGAGTTTTCAGAGTGCCACAGCACTGATCTCTCCTGCTTCCTACACCCGGAGACCCGCTCTTCCCTCCACGCTCACTCCTGGCTTCCTGTGGTCAGCACTAGGATTGCAAGTCCTTCCTCATCAGCGCTTGCTGCTGAAGGAACGGACGGGAAGGCCCTCAGGAACAGACGAAGGAAGAAACGAGTGCTCCTGTCCCCTGCAGCTCCCGGCACCAGCAGCCAAGGACCCTGCTGGAAGAGCGACAGCAAGAGCATTCGGGAACATTCGGGAGCTTTCCAGGAAGGTCAGACTCCATCAAGGCCTGAGGTGGAATCCTGTGCTCTTGGCCTTTTGGCAAATTCACGCTCACCAATGCTGAAGGGGCAAATGGCCTGGGTGTCCCATGGACTCTGCCTTGCGGAATGGGGTCCTCAGCATCAACATCGGTTCAGCCGCCAGCAAAATCCTATTTCCTGAGCTGTGGGGTGTGTGTGTGTGTGTGTGTGTGTGGTGCAGGGCCCCTCCCTGACTCCCCTCATGCTGAGGTGATACCCTGAACTTGCACCTCTGCCTGTAAAGACCCCCACTTCCTTGCTCATCCTGTTCATGGAAGATTGGGACCATGTGACTGCATCACTGAGGTTAACAAGACTTTGTACCAACTTGGGCTTGCATTCAGAGAAAGGCAAGATGGAGGCTGGATTCTGCCCATCTGCCTCTGCTGAAGCCAGCAGAAAAGAGCTGTGCACATCTGCTCACCCATTTCCAGATTCCCAGTGCTGCGCACATGTGTGCATGCATGTAAATGTGGGCTATGTGTGGTGTGTGTATGCATGTATGTGGTGTACGTAGTTTGTACATGTGTACTTGATGTGTACATGCATGTACGGTGTGTTGAATATGTGCACATCTACAGCATGTATTGGAGCATGTATTATATGCGGCATGTATGTATGTGTGTATGTGGTGTGTGTGCGGTGTATATGGACTTGTGATGTGAATTTATGTGTGCATGGTATGCGTGGTATGTATAGATGCATGGTGTGTTTTTTGTCTGTGTGACATGTTGATTGCATGGTGTACATAGACATGTGTGGTGTGTGGAAATGTGTGGTGTATACAGACACATGTGATGTGTATGGTGTGTGTGTGTACATAAGCAAGCATGGTAGGGCATGGTTTGTGGGTGTGTGTGGTGCTTGCATCTGTACGCCCAGTGATACACCAAAAATGGAGATGGTATGGCTATGCAGACCCAAATTGCAGCACAGGAAATCCATCTAGGGCAGGCATGGGCTTCTGGTCACCAGGCCCAAGAGCAAGTGACCTTCGACTTGATCATGGTGGGTACTCTCCCCTATGGAGGACAGTCTGGGCAGGGACAGTGGTGACCACAGGGACTCAGCTCAGAGAGTGTTAGCAGGTTTGAGTCCTACAAGGATTGAGGTTGCAGGACTCAGCAGAGAAGGGACAGCCCAGAGGGAGGACCTGGGATGCTGAAAGAGCTGGGATCCCAGAGAGAAGCTGCAGAGCACTTGGGCTGGAGGAGGAAGCCCCTGTAAGCAAGACAGCAGCAGCTTACACACTGAGGTCAGGAAATGAGACCACAGATGCTGGGCGCTCAGCCCACCGAGGCAGCAAGTGCTGGCATCACCACCGGACCTCAGCCACCTGGGCTTCAGTGAGGGTGGACAGCTGTGCTTGGAGGCAGGAGAGCTGAGAGCTGGCAATCTTCTAGGGATGGGGAGGGATGCCAAGGATACCCCAAAGCCACCAGCCCATCCTGGAGAGGGAATGCTTCCGGTGTGCTGGCCATGGATGGTTCCTGGCATTGTGATGGCATCAGGGAAAATACACCTATCTGGATGTTCAGGGTTGAAGTTCAAGTTCATGACATGAGACACCCAGAGAGCCAAGGGCCATGAGGGAGAAAGAACCAGGGTAAGAGCCTGAGTAGACCCCACAAATACACAGTCCTATAGTCCAGGTTTGCTCATGGAAGTGCCAAGGGCACCCATGGGACCTCAAGGGCCCGGTCTGCAGGGCTCACAGATTCTGCCAGCTTTGGCCCCTCAACAATACACTTGCCAAAGCTCAGGCATCTTTTTTTCTCCCCAAGGAACCCAATGTAACAGTGGAGTATCCACTGTTGGATTGGGTATCCAACAAAGGATAGAGAGGCCCAGGAGTACATGGGGAACTTTCCCTCTGCCACATACACTAAGTGCATGGTGCTCCCTGAGTAGTTGGGACTGTGCGGGCCAAGTTCCAGGTTGATGCTTCTCAGTTTTTCCTGTGCATTTACCCCACCTGGGCTCCTTCTCAGAGGCAGACGTGCATTTAGGAGGCTGCAGTGGGACCCGAGGCTCTGCAGCCTTAGCAAGCTCCCAAGTGAAGCGCACACTGCAGGTCCAGAGCCCACACTGTGCCCATGAAGGCTATAAGCTGCATAGTGTACTATTCCTGTCTATAACAAGTCAGACGTTATAGAGGCCAGAGGCTGAGCACAGCTATAACAAAGCCAACACTTACAGCCAAGCCTCTCAGCCTTCTATGCTCTGGCACCCATGAAAGGCCTAAGACAGGAGGAAGTGGACAGGTGCTGGGCCTCCAGAGCCAGAAGTTCAAATCCCAGCCCCACCAGCAAGTAGCCAGTGTATAATTGGACTTCTCCAAACACAGTAACTCAGGAACCTACTGCATGGAGTTCTTGGCAATTGTGGTTTAAGCAAATAGCATTATGTAAAACACCCATGGGATTATTTATGTAGGTACTTAGCATAACACTGGGAGAAAGTCCTAGTAACAATAGTAAACACATCTTAGCACGTCCTGAGTGCTTAATCAATATTAACCAGCCAGATGTGATGTGTGGCAATGTCTTCTCTTATTAGACATTCCTAATTGTTCCTATGATACACGTGCATTGCTGGAGGTTCCATGGAAGGACCACACACCAGCAGTGTGTGGCTGCACACGGCACTGTTCTCTGTGAGCTGGGTTTACCATCTAAGAGATAACATACGTTGTGATTTTTGTGACTAGCCTTCTTCATTGGGAACCTCAGATTGTTTCCAGAATGTGGGGTCAGAAATGGCATTCTAGGAACGTCTCCGGCTGGGCACTGACTTGTCTGTGTTTTTGCGTTAAGTAATGTAGGATAAATGTTCATTCACAAGTAAGCATAGGGGGGCAACGGATATGACTTTGATATATAGTCCCAACTGTTCTCTGGAAAGATCGTGTTGATTCATTCTCCCAGCTTTATTTGCTTCAGTGCTTGCCCATCTAAGGGAAAGATAATGACTTTCCTTTTATCAGATGTCTTTTTTTAAAAAAAAGATATAATTGTTTATTGGAAAGGTAGAGCATCAGACAGAGGGGAGAAAAGGAGAGAGAGAGGGGGGGAGAGAGAAAGATCTTCCACCTGTTAATTCATTCCCCCAAAAAGCCCCAACAGGCAAGCTTGATCCAAGGCCAAAGCCAAGAGCCAGGAGTTCTGTCTGGGGCCTCCCACACTTGTCCCATCACCCACTACCTTCTAAGGTGCATTGGCAGGATGCCGGACAGGAAGCAGAACAGCCAGGATCCAAACTGGCACTCCGTTATGAGATGTCTACACCACACACGATGCCTTAACCCACTTGCCACAACACCGGCACCCATTTGTGTTATATTTTTGTCATTACTGGGGGGATACCTAAGACTTTGTGGAAGCTTTGAGACCAACTATATCTACTTGTACCAATGATTTTATTTAAAGTGTCACATGTATAACTGAGAATCCAGCATACACTTACCAGTGACGTCTTGGGGGAATGGTCCGGAGCCCATCAGTGCGCTGAAGGCATGCTGGGCAGAGCAGAGGCCCAGCAGATACCTACAGGTCTTAGCTGAATCGGCAACAAACACGTGCTTCTTCCCAGTGACGCTGCTGGTGATGCTGAACTTCTTTCGCTGAAAGAAAGAAACCCAGACTTTCCTGAATACAGCTATGCAGAGAGCATCAGTACACTCAGTCCCTGGGGTCAGGATCGCCATACCAGGACCATGGATGTCGCCTGACTAAGACCTCACGTGATCTTCTAAAGAAAATCTGTATGTGTTCTTTCATTCACAAATCCTATTTCTGTTTGTCAGGTGAGTGCTATTTGCCAAGAGGTTGCACAGTTGAAAACAACACGGGGTGAGCCGAGGACACACGTGGCTGTCCAGAAGGCGTGCATGTGATCCGCAGTGCACATTAGGAAAGGACTATCACATTATACAAACACCAAGGAATCGCAGGCAAGCATCTCAGGGAGCAGGATTAGGACCATGATACAGCACGCGTGTAGGTGTTTGTGGGACAGTGACTGGTGGTTAGGCCATCGAATGCATTAGGACAGCAGTCCTGTCCTTCCTCTCTGTCTTCTCCTGCTCAGATCATGGCCAGCCTGGCTGGGGTCCCTGTAACAGGGCAGTGCTACCCTGAGTCCTTCTGACAAGGTTGGGCAAGCCAGCAGGATATCTGAGGGGCCGTCCCCTAACATAGACCTAAAGGAATATCGCTGTACAAGCTTGAACCCAGACTGTTCATTTGTGAATGTAGAAAGCCTCCTCGCACCTTCCTTCCCCCAGTACAGAAGAAGCCATGATCACCGTTTCTGACCACACAGCCTGCCCGCTGTGGTCTGGAATCCCACGGGTGAACGGTCTCGATAAGCTATCATTCCTATACATTCATTCACCTCAGGCTTCCCTCTTAATGTGGGGTGCACATTCAGACCCTGTGTCTCGTGTGTCTTGCTATTGTGTGCCAGGCTGCACTCCAGGTGTTTCACGAGGATTAACTCAGTCCATCTTTGTGGCTACAGAATGTTCAGGTGGGAGGGGAAGAGTGTTCTGCTGGTACGCCAAATCTGCTGATGAGGAAACGGTTTGAGGGCCTGACGCAATGGCTCAGTGGCTAAATCATTGCCTTGTACACACCAGGATCCCATAAAGGTGCTGGTTCTTGTCCCAGCTGCTCCACTTCCCATCCAGCTCCCTGCTTGTGGCCTGGGAAAGCAGTGGAGGATGGTCCAAAGCTTTGAGTCCCTACACCCATGTGGAAGACCCGGAAGATGCTCCTGGCTCCTGGCTTCAGATTGGCTCAGCTCTGGCTGTTGCAGCCACTTGGGGAGTGAACCAGCAGTGGAAGATTTTTCTCTCTGTCTCTCCTTCTCTGTAAATCTGACTTCCAATAAAAATAAATAATCCGGGCCCGGTGCAGTGGCGCAAGTGGTTAAGGTCCTCGCCTTGCACGCCCGGGATCCCATATGGGCGCCAGTTCTATCCCGGCAGCCCCGCTTCCCTTCCAGCTCCCTGCCTGTGGCCCGGGAAAGCAGTCGAGGACGGCCCAAAGCTTTGGGACCCTGCACCCGCATGGGAGACCCGGAAGAGGCTCCTGGCTTCAGATTGGCTCAGCTCCAGCCGCTGCGCTCACTTGGGGAGTGAATCATTGGATGGAAGATCTTCCTCTCTGTCTCTCCTCTCTGTATATCCGCCTTTCCAATAAAAAACAATAAAAATAAATATTTTTTTAAATAAATAAATAATCCTTTTTTAAAAAGAAACAAATCAAGAGTCCCCATAATGCAACAGAAATTGAGATAATACCCACAAGGAATATTTCTCTGTGTTGCACTGGTTGCTTTCAAAAAACAGAGCAGGAAAGAGAGAAGCACAGAGGGAGAGAGTTGCCGCCCACTGGTTCACTCCCCAAACGCCCACGATGCCCCATCCCTGGGACCAAAGCAGGAAACCTAGAACTGCAGTGGCAGGGACGCAACCATCACCATTGCCTCCCAGGGTACCTTTCTTGCCTGCACAGGAAGCTGGAGTCAGGAGCCGGAGCCAGGTGGTGGAGCCAGACACTCCCAAATGGGACATGAACATCATAGCCATCACTCCAAATCCTGGCACCCGCTCCCCCTTCCACTTTCAATGCTCATGCACAAAACAACAGCATTTATATTAGCTTCTTGGGCTGAACTAACAAGGCTGTCTCTCCAAAGCTTCATGGGGAAAAAAAATATATACACATTTTTGGAAAACATAATTTTAAGAAGAGTAATAAAATAAGTTAAGGGCCCGGCACAGTAGCCTAATGGCTAAAGTCCTCGCCTTACACATACCAGGATCTCATATGAATGCCGGTTCTAATACCAGCCACCCCACTTCCCATCCAGCTCCCTGCTTGTGACCTGGGAAAGCAGTCAAGGATGGCCCAAAGCCTTGGGACACTGCACCTGTGTGGGAGACCCAAAAGAGGCCTGGAAGAGCTCCTGGTTTCGGATTGGCTCAGCTCCAACTGTTGCGGTCACTTGGGGAGTGAATCATCGGACAGAAGATCTTCCTGTCTGTCTCTCCTCCTCTTTGTATATCTAACTTTCCAATAAAAAAAAAAAATCCTTAGAAAAATATGAAGTCAAGAGACAATATGCAAGATGAATTTATACGGGACTTGCAAATGACATCTCTCTTGTAGACACTATCTATTTCAGTGAGAACTGAGCTTGAGCCTGTAAAAATAACCTGATCACAACAAGGCTCACGCTGGGAAGGCTCCCTGGAATCCCTGATCCTCTTTAAGACTGATCTCATGTGAGTCCCAATCGCAGTCGCCCTAGGGCACTCCGTTCACACGAGCCAGAGATTCACATATGGGAGATCATTACCCACTGCTTTCCCGCTGAGAAACTTGGCCAGCTAGTCAATTTGGGATGACTTAGTCTTTCTTGAAGTGTGCTTCACTTTGATGGACAAGGCAGTGCTCATGTGAACGGATTCTGAGTCTCGCTGAGCTTTTCTATACTGCACTGTTTTTACATAGTAGATTTTCTTTTTTTTTCTTTTAAGATTTACTTTTATTATTTTTTTTTTTATTGGAAAGGCAGATATACAGAGAGGAGAGACAGAGAGGAAGATCTTCTGTCCGATGATTCACTCCCCAAGTGAGCACAATGGCGATGCTGTGCCGATCCCAAGCCAGGAGTCTCCCGCGCCGGTGCAGGGTCCCATGGCTTTGGGCCGTCCTCGACTGCTTCCCCCGGCCACAGGCAGGGAGCTGGAAGGGAAGCGGGGCTGCCGGGATTAGAACCGGCGCCCATATGGGATCCCGGGCGTGCAAGGCGAGGACCTTAACCACTGCGCCACTGCTCCAGGTCCAACATAGATAGTATATTTTCTGGAATATGGATAGATGTTTCTCTATCTGTCTTAGTACTTCATTCTCTGTCGCTAAAAGTTCAGTCCTTGTCAAGGGTGCCGAACCAAAATAGGGTTCACTGGGTTCGATTAAACAGAGTTTAATCTGTCGATAGATGAGGAGGTGGCCGCTTCACAGCTCCAGTGCTACCTGCCAATGAGGATGTTTTGTTTCAGGGGGTCGGGATTATTTACTTATTTGGAAGGTGCAATTACAGAAAGAGAAAGAGATACAGAGCTAGCTTGCATCCACTGGTTTACTTCCCAAATGGCTACAACAACCAGAGCTGGGCCAGGTTGAAGCCAGGAGCCAGGAGCTTCTTTAGGGTCTCCCAGAGCCCTGTCGGGTGAATGTAGAAAGCTCTTGAGCCATGCTTCCACTGCTTTCCCAGGAGTAATAGCAGGAAGGTGGATTAGAAGTGAAGCAGCCAGGGTTCGAACCATCCCTGATGGGATGTTGGCACTGCAGGTGGTAGTTTAACCACTACAAAGAAGGCAGAACTAAGAATAAGATGAACAAAAGATAGAGCCGGATGTATGATGTCCTCTGGCCAGGAGTTAAAGGGATGATTGGAGTCACAGTGGTTGTCTGGTGACGACCCAGGCTGAGCTGGTATTCAAGTCCCCGGTTATCCAGCAATGCTGAATCCTCAAGGAGTGGCTTCAGTCAGGGTGGCAGCTATGTGCAGGTGGTCAAGGCTTTCTGTCCCGGACCTGGAATTTCTCTAAACAAGATTAGCCATCAGAATGTTGTAAAACCTCGTAGGGCCAGCTGCACCAAACCCTTAATTAGGGCATTAAGCGAAGAAGGGCAGGCTGGGAGACTGAGCCACCCAGCATTCACATTCCACGCACTGCCATGTCTTGCCTCGGTGCTCAATCCATCATCTTTGGCGCACTCTTTCAATGCCGGACATCGGATTAGTAACAACGCCCTCGATCGGCACCCAGGGATATGTTTTCCAGCAATCTGCAACCGTACACCAAGTTCATTCAGACATTTAAATACTGTAGATGAGTGAGCCCCTTTTAAAGACCTAATAACAATTGCTTAACAAATCTAAACAGGGAGAGTCATCAACACTACACACACACATTTCTTTCAGCTTGCGAACTCTCTCAACCAACGCATGGGGAACATTAAGGAGAACAGATCAGTTCCCTTTCTTTGCATAGAGTTGAAAACGCTTTGGTTTGCAGTGATGGGCTTCGGCTTCCATTCAACAGCATTCTGACAACATCCTTGAATGGCAAAGTGCATGTGCAGGCCAACCTTCCCGGAAGCAGGCTGCCCCGTGAGGCAGGTGAAGTACAATCCAGGCCTTGTGGGATGTTGGGGCATGATGGTGAGGACATTTCTCTGCAGACTGCCCCTGCAAGCACCCGAGGGGCTCCGGTACCACTAGGTTTCTCCGTTGTTGGAGATAGTTCATCACCGCTGGCTGCATTGTCATGACACACTGCATTCGCCCGTGTGCTTCGTCGCACGTTTGTGTGTTTTCAGGCATCATTGCAGTCCAACAAGATTCCTCCAGGCAGATGCGGACGAAGCTGAGCCCCAGGGCCCTCCCATGGATGGGGTCCCAGCAATGCATGCCCACGGTCTTGCAAAAATGTGATGCTTACTCTTCATCCCACGCCGACTTCCTCTTCTTCCACAGTCCCTAACACCAAATGGCACTGGGTGCTGTGGGAACAGACTCCCCCCCAGAAGTTACAAACTGCACAGTTTTAGTTTAGATTTTGTGGGATTTATTTAAGTCACCTGTAATCTCTTGTGTGATGGTGACTTTACTGTGAACCATGCCGAGGAAGTCCTTCCAGGGGTTCTGTGACAAAAACACCTGTGACATTGACCATGAGCTACTATATCAAATACTCTAGGAGGTTTGATAGCTACAGAGCCTAGTCTGTGGAAGATTTTTACAAAGATCAAAGCACCAAATCAAGTGAATTTCTGTCCTCTTGAAGGCATACTCCATAACTGTGCATATCACATTATCAATGCACTATGCTGGAGTTTCCTTTTTTTGGATAGGAACCAAAAAAAAAAAAAAGGAATTTGTGATATTTCTTGTGTTTGTAACAAGATCTATAGCCGCACTACAATGAGAAAGTGTGTCCTTATGTTTTATGTAAGCTATCAATTATGAAAATAAATTTCTATCAGATAGGCTATGAGAAAGACTCAAATCATATTTCTACTCTCTCTAGAGAAAATAATTACTCCAAAATGTCATCCCAGAGAAGAAATAAGCAGAGGATGTTAGCCAAAAGTGTTATAGAGCTGTCAGAGGATTCATTAGTAAAAATAAAATTTTTCAGATGTTTTCAATGTTCGTTCCGCTCTTTTAAAAGTTACCATGTTGTTGTGATTACCAGTCTGGAAAGAAATACTCCCTTGGAAAAATAAATAAATAAAAGAAATACCCCCTTGCCACAGTGTACTATAATTGTGATTCTGTGAGTCTGAGAAGGATGATACGCAGCCTGCATCGGCTCTGCTTTCCTGCGTTTCTCTTCTGAGATTTTGACCTCGGTCCATTCTTTCAGAAGGAGCGTTTGCTGATTGATAATCAAAGCATGCACAGATGCCAACACATCTACCAATCACACCCTTTGAAAACAGCTCCCCACGCCCTGGGCGACTTCCGCACAGGCAGGCGAGACAAACGAGCCGGGAGTGAGGCATTTGGCCTTCAGCTATTAATATGCAAGATTGAATCCAGCTTCCGGAGCTAATTCTCAGATTGATCCTAGCGTTCCCAATTTTGTGCCTGCAAAAACACAAATTCAGTCATTTTCTGGAAAAGACGCTTGGCTTATGGCCCACAGCTGGTGGCATGACTTCAGTGTGACGACTTTGCCCAGAGAACAAGTCATTCATAGTGAGTCAGAGATGACCGTCAGGATAGGCAAACTCCAGCCAAGTGGTGTGTTCAAGGCCGACTTTGTCTTGTGAACTTGAATCAAAAAACTGCGGGTAAAGCAATCATATTTGCAAGCATCAAACCAATCCATATAGAAAGGACTCGCCAACAGGGACTCACCGATGACCCTTCTGACTTCAAAAACTCCAGTGTGGGAGGACAGCACTGCAGTGTAAGTGGGTAACGCCACCTCCAGCAACACTGGCATCCCATTAGGGTGCCAGTTCATGTCCCTCCTGCTTTACCTGCCATCCAGCTCCCTGCTAACGTACCTAGCAGGAAAGGAGAAGATGGCCCTGGAGCTTGGAGCCCTGCACCCATGTGGAACACCGTGACGGAGTTTCAGGGCCCTGGCTTCAGCCTGGACCAACCTGGATATTAAGATCTTGTAGAGAATGAACCAGAAAACAAAAAACAAACTAACAAAAAAATTGCTCTTCCTTTCTTTTCACTCTATCTGCCCCTTTCTCCCACCCCCCGTGTAACTCAAACAAGTAAATCTTTTAAATAACACACTTTTCAAAATTACTTTTCAGGTGAACTGCATTTTTTAAGAATGTTTTAAAGCAAACTGCATTGAAATAATCAGGAATGTATTAATATTGAATTGATTCTTTTTCACAAATATGTATTTTTATTGGAAAGGCAGATTTGCAGAAAGAGAGAGAATGAGAAAGACCTTCCATTCACTGGTTCATTCTCCAAGTGGCCACAATGACCAGAACTGAGTTGACCTGAAGCCAGGAGCCAAATCTGCCACACAGGTGCAGGGACCCAAGGCTTTGGGCCATGCTCGACTGCTTTCCCAGGCCACAAGCAGGGAGCTGGATGGGAAGTGGAGCAGCTGGGACACAAACTCCCACTCACATGAGATCCCAGCACTTGAAAGAGGAGGATTAGCCAATTGAGCCATTTGTAAGGCCCTGAACTGATTCTATAATTTAAATTCTTCAAATAAATGAAAGCAATGCAAGCAGTTAAACTCTTGAAATCTTCAAATAGAAATTTGGTTTATATTCAAGTTTGTTCAACAATATTGGGGAAAGGTTTTTCTGATCCTTTGAATGGTCTTTAATGAACTCAAAAGATGCTCAAGTATTATATATTTGTGGATATACTTATTTCTATCATAGTGAAAAGTGATAATTATTAAATCCTAGCAAGAATTATACTTTGGCAGTGCATTAACCTCAAAATCCAAGATGTAATTCACAAAAAAACTTTCAGAAAATAATTACCAGCTATAGAGTGTTGTATTTAAGAAACTCTTACATCAGATAATGATAACAACAATAGACTAAGCAGAAGACTTTTTTTTTTAATCACTTGAGGAAACATAATCCTTTAAAGCACAATGGGATTGTTTTCATGGCGCAAAAGCAGAAGGACCTCATGTTTTCCGCTGAAGTATCTGTGAACTCCAGCAAACGAATCCTACAAACACTGAGCAAGGTGACTCACTGTGCGGTCCACATCCAGGATACCAGCTCCACATCTACTGGAACTAAATTCAAGAAGGACGAAAACTCCCTCAAGGAGTGTCCCCATTTGACTGTAAATGTTCTGTGTTGAATGGGGGCTTCCGGTGTTAAAATGGCTTTTAAACACACAATGGTTATTACAGGTGTGCAAACACCAGTGTCCATGGCACACCTGTGTCCACACATCAGGGCAAACTTCAGAGCTTCCGTTCCATTAGCACCACCTCCCACCCCTCACCTCCCACCTTGCTCTGCGCTAAGGATGGTTCTTGGGTGCTGCCCCTGAAACCCCTGGAGGTCTTCTCCCAATTGTCCCAAGAGTGCACAGAAAGGGTTAACCCCATCCCTCCCACAGTGCTGAGTGCAGGTTAACCCCAAGATCCTTTAGAGGGCTCTGAGCACTCCAGTCAGGAACACAAAGACCACTGACCCCTTGCCCAGGTCAACAGTACAAAGGGAAAGACAGCATGGTCATTTGACACTCAAGTCGTACTCACACGGGTGGAAATCTTCCCCATCTCTCTCCATGGAACCCACAAGGTGGCGACCCTGCTGTTGTGTTTCACGACATAGACTGCGATGCCCTTGGCACAGACCCCCAGAGCCACCTCCCCTCCTGGCCTCTTCTGGTCTGGGTAGACCCGGTGGATGAGCATGCCGTATTCCGGAAGCTGCTGAGCAACCTGCAGTGTGGGAGAGGACACTTTGGACAACACAGCACATTACTCTGGAGTCAACAGCCCCCAGCTGGGCCATCCAACACACTGAGAAGATGTTTCCTTTGCCAACACTCAGTTGAACGACTTTCCCTCCTACAGAACGTGTCCACATTTCTGATAGGTAGCATGTTTCTATTGCCTTAACCCAAGGAGTTCTTTCCTTGTGGAGGTCCTGAAACAGCACTTAGAGTACAGTTATTACGAATAAGCTACCATAGAACAATAGTCCTTTAAAATTCATCTGTTTGTTTTATTGGAGAAGCAGATACAGAGATGGACAGATAGAAATCTACTATTGCTAGTTCTCTCCCCAGATACCTGCAACAGCTGGATGCGGGCCAAGTCAAAGACAAGAACCGGGAGTTCAACCTGGATCTCCCACGATGAAATGGCAGGGGCTCAATCCTTTAGGCCATCACTTCCACCTCCCAGTGTGTGGACGTGTTAGCAGGCAGCTGGCATAAGGAGCCAGAGGCAAGACTTCAACCTGGGCACCCCAGTGCAAAGGGCAAGCATCTTAGCTGCCCAGCTAGTGCTGCTCCAATTCCTCCCCTTGTGTTGATAGATCTGCAGGTAGGCAATGCTACCTCCAGACTTCACAGTGGTAAACAGACCCTTGAACTTCTGGTCTCTGATCCTCTTTGTTTTCAACTGGAGAGATCCTGTCACAATGCTACCATCATCATCACCACTGCATATAATCACATGGTTTGGGGCCAGAATCGTGGTACAGTAGGTTAAGTGGCTGCCTGTGATGCAAACATCCTATATGAGCACCAGCTGGAGTCCTGACTGCTCCACTTCAATTGTAGCTCCCTGCTAATGTTCATGTGACAGCAGTGTGGGATGGCCCGGGTGCTTGGTCCCTGCATCCATGCGGGAGACCCGAGTGGAGCTCCTGGCTTCCGGCTTCAGCATAGTTCTGGCCATTGCAGCCATTTAAGGAATAAACAGCGAAGGGAAGAGTGCACTCTCTCTCCCTCTTTCTTTCTCTCTCTCTCTATATATATATTTCCTCTGTTTCAGAACTGTCTTAATAGATCATGAAAGGAAAACATATTTATTGAACACTGGTGCGAGAGCAGATGTGAGCAAGCAGACCAGCCCAGCACCATAGGCCATTTATCTTAAAGCATCTGATAGACTGTGACCCTGAGAGACTTGCTTACCCTTTGCTGATGGGGGATTATCCTTTTGCTATTTTATGTTTCCATTAATCAAAGAAGGATGGGACACTTTGTGGCTCCCACATTCCCAAGGGAGGCAGGAGCCATGCTGAGCATTTTACATATGTGAGTCCATCATTATTTCATCAATGTAACTCTTTGCAAAGGGGACAGGGAGGTCCAGGAAGCACCAACCATCTGCTCCCACTCCCTCTTTGGAGCCAGGAGTGGGAAGGCAGAAATTAGAAGCAGTCGGCTCGAGTCATCACTCCCAATAACTAACCACACGATGTCAACAGGGACGTCGCCAGTCTGGACCCAAACAAAATCCTATTTGGTCTGTCTCACGGCGCCTGTCATCCACCCCACGCGAACATGCTGGCCTTCCCCCACCCCCCAGGATCACTTCCTCTCCACGCACGCCTGCTGCGACCCCACTAGGCCTCCAGCCCTTGCTGCATCAGGCAGCCAAGTGAGCCTTTAGCCAGCCACAGAAGACTGTGCTGACCCTAGAACCAGTGCAGTGGAAGCAAGTCGGGTCTTTTGACCCCACAGTTCCACTCTTGGGGATGCTGCTCTGTGTTCTGGCAGGGAGCGGGGCAGGACAGAGGGACTGGCTGCCTGGACAAGACCACCTTAAAGGAGCCAAGGATATTCTATTAACAAAGAATTGGCAGTCTTCTGAGAAATGCATTTGTGATCATGCTAAGCAAGGAAAGCTCCCAGATGCAACCAGTATGAACTCAATAACGATTTAAAAAAAAAAAAACAAAAGTAGCTTAGCATTTCACAAACCCTAATTATGTGGACAATGACTCCATGATAGGAAAAAAAAAAAAAACAGCTTAACCTAGAACAGGCTAGTCTGGGTTTGATGCACTAATGTGGTTGTGCATCTTCCAGACAGACATGCAATGGTCCCCTAACTGAATTGCAGCCAAGTCGGCTTCTAGCCCGAGACAAGCAAACGGCAGTAATCATGAACTGGGGGATGCCCAGCTGCCACGTTCATTTTTAAATGAAACTAGAGAGCCACAGGAGCTATAATTCATGGAACATAAAGCCTGTGTTTGGAGCTACTGTGCTTTGTGACAGCTTCTAACGATCACAACTCCCTGGGCACTTACAAGCTCAGGGAGGGGACAGGAAACGCCCAGAAATGCTTGCCAAGCCCTGCGTCTCACCAATACATGGACAACAGCACTGACAATATTCAGCACAGGCATGGCCTGGAACCCACATCAGAGTGTCCACCATCAGTCCTCCGGACCCAGCTCCTACCTCCCCCCCCGCCAGGGCAGACCCTGGAAGGCAGTGGTGATGGCTCAGGTCACTGGGTTCCTGTGACCCACCAGCTCCTCACTGCAGCCCAGGCCAGCCCTAATCATTGTGGGCATCTGGGGAGTAAATCCCCTGTGGGAACTCCGTGTCTCTGTCTTGCAAGTACCTTCATTACCTTCAATCCACAATTTCACTCCTGAGACCATATCCTTAAGAGATTTCGCAAAAGGACAGTTAACACTCTATGCACAAAACTGCCAATCCCAGTGCTCCTGAAAAGAGCACCATACTGGGCCTGGCGCCATGGCTCAGTGGCTAAATCATTGCCTTGCAAGCGCCAGGATCCCATATGGATGATGCTTTGTGTCCTGGTTGCTCCATTTCCCATCCAGCTCCCTGCTTGTGGCCTGGGAAAGCAGTAGGGGATGGCCCAAAGCCTTGGGTCCCTGCACCTGAGTGGGAGACTGGCTCCTGGCTTCAGATTGGCTCAGTTCTGGCCATTACAGTCACTTGGGACGTGAATCAGCAGACAGAAGATCTTCCTCTCTGTGTTTCCTCCTCTCTGTAAATCTGACTTTCCAATAAAAATAATAATAATAATAAAAATCAGGACATCATATGTTAATCCATAATTTTAGTTCTGCAAGTTTATATGAATACACAAACATACATATAGAATATCAACCCAATATATAGAGAGATAAATGCACGTAATAAAAGATGCAAGATGAAAATGTGAAAATATAATTGTGCTGTCTCCAGGGTGGAGAATGCTGTGGAAATGTTTACACTGTGCCAAACCCCTGACCATTGTCATCATTCAAGTACTTGGAAGGGACACGACCAGACCAGCACCCCAGGCTGGGGCTTGGAGAGACAACAGCAGTAACGTCCAATTCGCAGGAGCTTCAGTGGCCGCTTATCACCGTCCAGTGCCTTTGGAATCCCCACCTGCCCCCATCGAAAGACTGCTGCAGAAACACACTGGGAGGCTGAACTGAGGAAAGCAGTGAGCACCTTCCTGCTGGCCCCCGCATGAGAAGCAGGGGTCCGTTCTGCTGCACGATTGGCCAGGAAGAGGGGCAGGACAGAGCACGCCTCTGCAGCTCCGTTTTCTAGTGTCCACAATTACTAACAACAAGAAAACTATCAACAGAGACTTGCGTGCAGAGAAATGTACAAACACCTGATTTGCCTTTGTGTTTGCTTATTTCAAAATTTTATTTGTGGGCCCGGTGTGGTGGCGCAATGGTTAAGGTCCTCACCTTGCACGCCCGGGATCCCATATGGGTGCTGGTTCTAATCCCGACAGCCCCGCTTCCAACTCCCTGCCTGTGGCCCGGGAAAGCAGTCGAGGACGGCCCAAAGCTTTGGGACCCTGCACCCGCGTGGGAGACCCGGAAGAGGCTCCTGGCTTTGGATCGGCGTAGCATCGGCCATTGCGCTCACTTGGGGAGTGAATCATCGGACAGAAGATCTTCCTCTCTGTCTCTCCTCCTCTCTGTATATCCTCCTTTCCAATAAAAATAAAATAAATCTTTAAAAAAAATTATTTGTGTATCTATTTGTTGGAATGGCAAACACAGAGAAAGAGAATGAGAGACAGACAATAAGCAAGAGTTCCCATTAGCTGGTTTGCTCTAAAAACATCCACAATAACCTCAACTGGGCTAAAGAAGGGAAGCTGAGAGCCAGGAACTCAACCCAAGTGTACCATGTGGATAGCAGGAAGCCAATTACTTGAGCCGTCACCACGGCCTCCCAGGGTCTACCTACATAAGCATGAAACCAGAGCCAGCAGCCGGAGCTGAGAAGAGAACCCAGGTGCTCCCGGAGGAGACAGCAGCGTCTGGACTGCAGGCTCAGACACCTGCTCCCGTGAGCTTCCTTTAGAAGCTGTTCCTCAAATCTAAAGGCCCAGCCACCTCACCCATCCTGGAGGTCCCAAGAGCTTCCCTCCCACTGGTCCCTCACCGCACCTGCAGAAGGGCCGCCTCTGTCCAGGTCCCACCACCTTGACCTAGAGTCACTGAGATGCCTCTTGCTCTGTCTTTGGTGCTGTCTGCTGCTCCACAGCCATCTGCCCCGTGAGTCTTGGATCGTGCCAGGAATAGGAGCCAGGTTTGGGGTCTCCATTCTGCACTTTAAGCAGAGGTTGTGGAATATGCAAAGCACAACAGGGTTAAGTGCTGCTGCATTGGCCAGGATGCTGAGTGGCCCAGAGCTGCACCCCTGTGGATGGACTATGCTGGCTGTGTTGTGCAGAGGACAACAGCCAGAAAACTGCAGATGTGGGATCTTCTGGTAAGTTCACTTTGGCTCACGAGACCCTGGCTTTGTACTTGAGTTACCCTGCAAGTCAACTACAAGAAATGAGGTCTCCCTGCTCACAAAAGAGTGACTAAGATACTGCTCTAAGGTTGAAGAAAGGACCCACTACCCATCCCTCAACCCAGTCTGCTTGTTCCATCTTTGGGGCCATTTCCAACACTGCCTGCTCCTCCAAGCCTCCCCCTGACCGTCACGAAGCCCCTTTCCTGGAGAAACCAAAACCTTTCCCTGGGCCTCCTCATATGGCCACTAGGGGAAGACTCCCACAGGGACTGTGCTGACTGCCTGTCCCTTGAACCCTGAACCTTCTTAAAGCACTGAGACCTCACCTTCAAAAACTGCAGCTCGGCTTCCTCTCCCGGGGATGCAGAACTGAGCCGGTGTATCCGGGAGACCTCGGCTTGGGCCCGCAGAGCCGTCATCCTCCCGATCAGACTGGCTGGGATGTAATCTTCAACTCGAAAATACACCGTGCTCTCCACCTGCAGGACACAAGGACCAGGGAAGGCACTGAGGACACACCAGGACAATTGAATGAGACTCTCGGGTCCACGCAAGGCCTAGGGCCAGGAGCAGCTCTGTTGGGACAGCAATTACCCACTCTAATGGAAGTGGAACCTACACTACAACGTGAGTAGGAGGGAAAGAAGAAAGGAGTGCCCACTCTTGAGCCCCTTCTGTATGCCAGCTGGTCCTGAGTCACCAGGTACTCACCGTAATACCATAAGGAGGGCATTAATGAGCAAGAAGGGGACATCACCCAATGGGGCCAGCAAAACTGGCTCACCCAAACCCCTACACATTCCTTGATGCCCTTCCACTTTTAAAACTACACCAGCATGGACCAATACTGTGGCAAAGTAGGCTAAGCCTCCAGCTGTGGTGCCAGCATCCTGTATGAGCACCACTTGATGTCTCAGCTGTTTCATTTCTTTCCAACCCAGCTCCCTGCTGGTTACCTGGGAACAAAACGAAGGATGGTTCAAGCCCCTACATTCAAATGGGGGATCGGGGGAACTCATGGCTCCCGGCTTCAGATCAGCTCATCTCTGGCTATTACAGCCATTTAGGGAGTAAACCAGCAGATGAAAAGATCCTTTCTCTCTCTCTCTCCCCTCTCCCATGCTCTTCCATTTCTCCTTATCTCTGTAACTCCTTCAAATTAAAAACAGATAAAATCTAGAGAGAGTTTAACAAATAAAAACACAACAACAACCTGGCCCTTAGACTTCATTTGCTATTATTCACCAGCATTCCTGTCCATCCATGCTCCTAGTATGTCTACCTTCCAAGGGAGGTGTTAGCCGGGGCACCGGCTCTGCACACAAGAATGAACAGAAGGAGCCCCTTAAACAAGAGAACATCTGAGACCCAACTCCAGCACAGGCCTGAGGCGTCTTCAGATGCTTCCCCCTAGGATAGGTCGGCAGACCTGCATTAATCACTGCCTGATGGGCTGGTTCTCTGTAGACAGAGGCCAGGACAGGCAGAAGTGTGTTGAAGCCCATGAAGAGAGATCTCGGGGACTTCTATGAAGAATGAGGAAGGAAGGCTGGGCAGAGGTTGAAGCTAAATCTGCGTGTGCTGGTTTCAGGCTGCCCTGCCATTCTAGTCCTGATCAAGCGTCTCCCCACATCAAAGGCAGCTGGGAACTGGAGAAGTCACACCCACAGCTGGCTTTGGGTAACTTGGCTTGAGATGGGGAATCCATGCTCCTAGGGTGACACAGGCTTGTCCTCAGGTGGTTATAGACCAAGCGTCATCAAGTTAGATGCTGGCCCATGCTGGTTCTGAGCTCAGTCAGAGGCAGGGAGGCAAAGAAGTGGTTCAGCTGATACGTAGGGAAGCACAGGGAATGCTAGTGGATTATCAAAATCCAGGACACGGACAACAGCAAGTGCTGGCAAGGATGTGGAGCCACCAGAACCCTCATTCACTGATGGTGAGAATGAGAAACAGCATGGCCACTATAGAGGACAGTTTGCTGGATTCTTTGGCAGAACTAAAAGTAATCTCACCAGCTGATCTAGTACTAGTCTGCCCTGATGTCTACCTAGAGGAGAAATCTGACATCCACACAGATGCTGATGACAGCTTTATGCACAGTCGCCAAAACTTGAAAGTGAAATGTCTCCAGCAGGTGACTGAATAAACAACATTCAGCACTAAGAACCCACGACCCATCAGGCCAGAAATGCAATGCATGTTACTAAGTCAAGACACTCCAGCATAGGAAGTTTCCAAAACCTTCAAGGAAGTGTGTGTGAAGACAAAGTATGCCGAAGTTTAACTTTTTTTGCACCAAAATAAATTGATCTTTCAATTGCATTTTTCCAAAAAAAAAATCTTGAAAGCACTCTCTTCTGTCCTAGAGAAGTTCGTTTGGAATGCAAAAAGCTGCCAGCACAAGTACATGTACATCTATATCATTTGTTAAAGGAAAGATGACAAACAACTCTAATAATAACAGCAAACCACAAGTACAAGGTGGCACTTGGGTGATGACTAGAAGATGCAGCCCTGGGAATGCATCCCACACGGCCACTCAGGAGGGCCACCAGAGGACAGATGTGAACTGAGACTACAGTGCCAAGCCAGCAGGGCAGTACTCACAACTGCCCCAAATCCCAATGTGTTCAAATCACACCAGACCCAACTGTAGGATGTCAGGAGAAGTCTCTATTGCCCAAGCTGGGAGACAACAGCCCCTACTACCCTGAGCTGCCAAAGTCCGGGGTTTTTAAGCTCTCATCCTCCAATCAGATTGAGAGCCATACAGACCAAAGTTTCCATACACTCACGTAACTAAGCAGTGGGAAGTAGGAAGATAACTGCCAGAGCCCAAAGTTTTCCTATAGTTAATTAACCTCACCTAAAACAATAGCAGGTAGGAGGAGCCAGTGCAAGGAGCCTCTGGAGCCATTTCCACACTGCCAGTTAACTTGAATGGGGCAGGAGGCAGGAGGGGAGTGGTGTACATGCAGTGCCTTCAGACCCATTTTCACGCATCCAATTAACTAATGAGAAGAGTTAGAAAAGGCAGTTTTCACGAGGTTGTCACTTAACCTGTCAAATGGGTGCTAGCCATCAACTGGCTGCACCCCATCACAACAGCAAAGTGGTTCTGCCATTGTTTTTATGCTAAGATTACCTTTGTCTCCCTTTTTAAAATACAAATATGGTCAAATTACTTCTCCACATACAATTTTTCAGAAGCTCCCAGTCCTATCCAACAGTGACTTACGATCTTTTTCCAACATCAGAATCACTTTAGGAGGTCACCCTAAGTCCCTCTATGGCTGACAGGTGGTTCATAGCTCAAGCAATGATGAAACACCTGCAATACCCCCTCAACTGGATGGGCCAACCTCACCTTTCTGCCCATCAAATGACACAGAGCAGAGCTCTGGCCTGAGAGGTACCCCTTAATGCCCTTTGAAGTGCCATCATAGCACCTAGCATATAGCCAAGCAGGCCCTTAGAAGTCCTGTTTTTTTTACCAGCTTGTAATTGGCTCAACTACAAATAGAAAGAGAATGAGCTTCTCAAGGCTGAGCCGGTATTCAACACAGAACAGGCTCTCCAGCAACAAGGTCTGACCGGGCAGCCGCACACAGGAAGGGCTCATGTATCCTGTCGGTTTTACACACGGAAGGAGGGGCGCCTGCCTTGGTGGGCGGCAGAGGGCATTGCGGCAACTCTCTGGACCCCAACTCTGGGGGAAGGTGAGGCTTGGCAGATCTCTTCAGTGAATGATGAATAGAAGTCCTGAACGTGTGTGCGTGTGTGCGTGTGTGCGTGTGTGTGTGTGTGTGTGCATATACATATACTTCTATGCACACATATACATGTGCATGTGTGAGTATGCGTAAGAATAAAACAATAACCCTCATCATACATGAAAATAAACTAAAAATGAATTGAGGACCTAAATATAAGACCCCAAATTATTAAACTTCTAGAAGAAAACAGGGAGACACTGGGAGATTTGATTGTTAGACACTGGAAGAGACAGTTTTGGTTTACTTTTTTTTTTAGAAGACCCCAAAATCATATGCAACGGAAGCAAGCCAGAGAACCGGATGAGCTTCTGCAGGCAAAGGAAACCATCAGGAGTGAAGCAGCAACCTACAGCATGTGAAATATATATATATATATCGGGAAACTACTTATATGACAAAGGATTCATTTCCAGAAAGTACAAAGAATCCAAACAACCAGGCTGGAAAAAAAATCAAAGCATCCAAATTTCTTTTTTAAAACAAAGAAAGAAATTACCTAAATAAACAATTCTAAAAAGAGTTCATACAAATAGCCAGCAAGTATTTTGGGAAATGCTCCAACACCACTAATCATCATGAAATACACAAATCAAAGTTATATTTAAATATCATTTCACCCCAGTTAGAATGTGTATTACTAAAACAACCAAACATTTTACAATTGCTCACAAGAGGTGAAGGACAACGTGGAAAGTGTAAATGATACCAAGAGCCTTGTGCATGTTTCTGTGAAGACTGAGTTAATGCTCTGGAAAGACACCTACCTAAAGAACTGAGATACCAACAGTACCATTATTCACAACAGCCAAGATGCGAAATCAACCAAGATGTCCACTGGCAAATCAATGGACACGGAAAATGTGGCATACATACAGGACACAGAACTAGTCAGCCTTCAAAAAGGATGAAATTCTGCCATTTGCAGCAACAAAGTTGGAACCATGGGACATTAGGCTAAGTGAAATAAGTCAAGCATAGAAAGGCAATTGCCACAAGGTCGCACACGGGTTCCTGTATAGAAGCTGAGAGTTTGATCTCAGAGAAATGGAGAGTGTAAGAGTACTTACCCAGACCCTGGTGAGGAAGAGGGGGATGGCAGAATGAAGAGACAGTGATTGGATAGTTACAGAGAAACACCTGGATAAAAGGTGTAACTTCTACTGTTCCACAGCTGGGTAGGGTAATCATGATTGGCAGCAATGCACTGTATATTTTGAAATTGCTAGTAGAACAGATTTTGAGTGTAACCCACACAAAGAACAAAATGCATTTGTGAGGTTATAGATAGGGCGACTATCATGAGCAGGTCATTACACATTGTATGCAGGTATTGAAATGTTCCATTGCACCTGAAAAAAGATACAATCACAATGTGTCTATTAGAAATAAAGTTTTATAAGAAAAGATATAAGTGATTATGCTGCAGCAAGGGCTTGGTCAACAAGACCGGAACTATCACTTGAGAGGCGATGCATCCAGAATCCACACCATCCCTGAAGGCACAACCAGAGGGTCTCCAGTTGAGACTTGGTCATTTACCAGCATGATTGTTCTTATAGCAAACATGAAAGAGAATGTGAACTTTACGATGTTTCTCTGAGGGTTGAGGGAGTGAATGCTATGGATTAAAAAATCAGGGTGAATGGCAGGCACAGAAGGATCTCACAATAAGGGTTCACTATTACTATTGAAGAAAAAGAGAATTCAAATAAGCTATTGCTTTTAGGAGAAATCTATTAGACTAGAATTGTGTTAACAGGTATCAACTTGATTGGTTCATCTTAGTAGCCCCTAGACCTAGCAAAGAATACCCAATGAGTGTTTCTTGGATGGATGGATGGATGGATGGATGGATGGATGGATGGATGGATTAGTTGGATGTGTGGATGGGGGTAGATATGTGGATGGACAAGTATGTACAAGTATATGGAAGAAAGGAAGGAATGGTAGGAGGGAGGGAAGGAGAAAAAAGTAGATACACAGTTTGATTGTCAGATAGGTAGATATACTTATGGATGGACACATACTTAATTACACAGTTGGCATCACTGATGCTCCCCTATCCCATAGCAGCTTTTCCAATGCTCCCCGCCCCCTGCCCCCAGCGGCTCTGTGCTCACCCCTACCTCCTTGGGATAACTGCCAAACTCGGCCTGCAAGGCAAGGCCACCCAGCCGTAGCAGCATCTCATCGTCACAGCTCAGCCTCTCCTCCAGGATATCTCTCCTAAGCTGCAGGTAATACTGATGCCTGGTCAAGCTGTGCCTAGAAATGCAGGGCAGGTGTTAGGACAGCGGCCATGCTGAGGGAAAGGACTCTCCCAGTCTAAGACTTAGGGAGGGGAGGAAAACGGGACACAGCCCAAGAGAAGCCAGAGGGCAATGCCAGGTCTGACAGGGTCTCCTTCACTGGCACCTGCCTCCTGCCATTAGCAGGGCCCCTCTATGCCAGGCACAACACACGACCCCCACAGAGACATGTGTTTCTGTGATCCGAGGCAAGAAGTTGATCTCCATTCAGTGCAGTGAGGTTTGTAGGGAAGTTACAAGTGAAGAGAGATTGACCCAACCCCAGATCCATGATCTTCTCTTTAACTTGCCACCGTGGGCTGCTGGGTTGTACATAGGGGCAGGAGAGGTGGGTATGTTGGAGTTAGGAAGAGATAACTTTGACCTTAAGTGAAGCACTTTTTTTAAGATTTATTTTTATTAGAAAGTCAGCTACACAGAGAGGAGGAGAGACAGAGTGGAAGCTCTTCCATTGTTGATTCATTCCCCAAGCGGCTGCAATGACTAGAGCTGAGCCAATCCGAAGCCAGAAGCCCGGAGCCTCTTCCAGGTCTTCCACGTGGGTGCAGGGTCCCAAGGTTTTGGGCTTTCCTCGACTGCTTTCCCAGGCCACAAGCAGGGAGCTGGATGGGAAGCGGTGCCACTGGGATTAGAACTGGCACCCATATGGGATCCTGGTGCATGCAAGGAAGGACTTTAGCCGCTAGGCCACCACACAGGGCCCAGAGTGAAGCCCGTTTGAAATGAAACAGTGGAGCCACCTGCAGTGCTGGCATCCCATACTGGCACTGGCTTGAGTTCTGGCTGCTCCACTTCCAATCGAGCTCTACTGATGGCAGCTAGGGAAGCAGCAGGGGATGGCCCAGCTGCCTGGGCACCTACAGCCACGTGGGAAACTCAGAGGAAGATCCAGTCTCCTGTTTCAGCCTGGCCCAGCCCTGGCTACTGCCGCCATTTGGAGGGTGAACCAACAGACAGAAGACTTTCTCTCTCTCTCTCTCTCTCTCTCTCCAACTCTGCCTTTCAAAATCATTTTTAAAATTTTTCAAAAATAAACATAAAATTTAAATTTTGGAAAAAAAATTAAAAGGCAAGTTCTGATTTTCACCAGGGCCTGCCTCAAAAACCTAGTTTTCCTTCTTGCTCCCATTAGCAAACAACAAGACACTGCAAGAGCTGCTGCACATTAGCAGTTCCCAGGAGCTGCTTGCCCACACCAGGACAGACACAAATCCCTCAGGGAGCAGCTTTGCGGCACTCACTGGAGCAACGCATAGTGGCTGACAAAGAACTTGATCCTCAGGAAGAGCGTGAAGGTGCCCGTGGCAGTCTGCAGCCGCTCTCTCCAGCCCTCGGGAGCTGTTTCACATAATCTGGTTTCATTATCCAGAAAAAAGAACTCTTGGCCTGAGACAGAGGAAAGGTTTGGAAAGAGTATCGTTAGGGATGCACCCTCCGTCAGGTTCACGGCCCTGAGTCCTGCTCTGAGGCAGCAGGTGCAAGCCAGGTGTGCAGGAAGGAATAGGAAGCCAGGCCTCCAGGGACCTGGCACCAGGGACCTGTAACAGCAGCAGGCAAAGAGGAGGAGAACCTGAGCGTGGAGCAGAGAAGCTGTGATGGTGTTTGACTCACCCAACCCACAGGTTTAGCACCAGCAGGTGCAGCCAACCATGCACCAAATCGCTATGGAAAAATATGGGACTAGATTCATACAGACTTTTTAATTATTACCTCTAAGCAATATAGCGTGACGGCTGTTAACACAGCATCCACTCTGCGGTAGGTGTTACTGACCTAGGGGTAATCATCTAGGGATGATTTCAATTACACAGGAGGATCGTGTTGCTTCGGTGTGAAAATCCTTCACCTCCCTTGTCACAGGTGTGTGTGGGCTACAGGCCTCTGTCCTCCTAAAATCCATATGTTGAAGCCTTAAGCCCCTATGGGATGGTGTTCGGAGGCAGAGGGCTCTTCCGGGAGCGATGAGGGTTCGATGGGATGCCCTGGGTGGGAGGGATGTCATGAAATGAAGACGGAAAAGCCAGAGCTTCCTCTCGCCCCACGATGCAAGGACACAGGGAGAAGGTCGCCACGTGCAAGTCAGGAAGAGAGAAGAGTGAGTCAGCTGGCACCTGTACTTGAACTCAGCCTCCAGGACTGTGGGAAACGGTGCTTCACCATTGCAGCACCAGCTAAGACAGGGTGTGAATAAAGTCCCATTTGCCCAAGCTGAAAAACTCCACCAGCCCAAGCTCAGGGCTTCTGCTCCTGGCTCATGCCCTTCTGGAAGGAAAGCTGAGTCAGCCACACCCACCGGAGGCCCCTTTTCCTCTCCTGTTCATCTTCAAGGTGCTAATTCTACCTCCCCACCCCCCGCCACACCCTCCATCCTGTTCCACCCCTCCCCTCCGCTGCACACCCAAGGCAACTCTGCCCTTCTCTCCACCATCCAGCATGGGTGCACAATGCCACGTGCCTGGGCATCGAGTCCTGCCCAGCATTGGAAGGCAAAACATTTAAATGAACAATCCCAAGGCACATGCACACCAGGGGGAAGCAAGTGGACATCCAGGGGTTCTAACGGCCCTCAACACAGTGTCCTCCCAGGCCGTGGCTGCTAAATCTGACTTCCCACCAGGCCTTAACTTCAGTCAGTTCTCCCCACTAAGGGACAAGGATATCCACACAAGAGTCTGGATGACAAACTCTGCCCAGGCTGATCTTCACCCAAACCCCAGAGGTTCTATTTTGAGCGATTTTCCCAGGAAGGCCCTCACTAAGCAGCTGTAGAATTATGTACCTGCCTGCGAGCAGACAAGATAGGCAGGAGCTCCACCATGAGGTTAGACCAGCTGTGCAAACACACTGGGATTTATTATAATTTATTATTATTATTATTATTATTATTAATTATTATTTCCCCCTGAAAATGCTTGCATGCATACTTCACAAAAGACCCAGCAGACAGACATCTATGGACCATGATCGCCTAGCAGCATGCACTAATTCTTTTTGTTATTTGACAGAAGGCTCCTTTGGGAGGTCTAATGAGAGCCCCACTCATTTCCCATCATATCCCCTGGTTCTTCCATTGCACATTGGCTGACACACACAAGCTGGTGGGGGTGGGGAAGGAGAGGAACCCTGATACCCCACACCTAGGCACCTCAAGTGAAGCCAGGACTGACAGGCCTGCTGCCTCTGGCTCAACCTCCTTTCCTTCGTTCCCCTTGGAACATAAGCTGATTAAGGCGCTAAAGACAGCAGATGCAGAGGATAAAGAGGACAGAGAGAGAGGAGGGGGTAGGAAACATTCCACTGGATCTGGAAACCTGTGTTATCTCCCTGATGTCTAGGGGTGCAGAGGCAGACACCCCAAGCCCCTGCAATTTTGCCAGTAGGAACTCAGGGACCCAGACACGTGGATTCACCTAGGAGCCCAGATACCATCTCCTGGGGCATGGGAGGAGGAGGGCAAGGCCGCTCGGGGAGACACTCACCTCTCAGGTAGGCCAAGCCAAAATAAGTGATCTCTCGCAGGTTGACAAAGGACACCACGGCCTGGAAGACGTCCCCTGCCGTGGACTCGACATCACATTTCACCTCCAGGCACTGCCCACTGAGCAGGACCACACACACATCCCTGAGAGCCAAGTAGGACTTCCCTTTTCTGGTCTGCAAACAACAATAACAAGTGCCCCTTGTCCAGGAGCTAGGAGACATTGTCCAGCCCCCTGTGCAAGTTACTGTGGGCTCAGCACATTGCATGTATTGTCTCACTGAAGTGGCTAGCAATTTGATACCATGAGTGTTTACAGTTCCCATTCAGGTGAGAGAAACTGCAGCTCAGAGACCACAGAGGACTTGCCTGGGGGGCTGCAGACTGAGATCAGATGGAGATCCATGCCCTCCACCAGGCTCTGCGGGGCCTCAGCCATGCGTCACGGGCCCTTGGAGGCATCTGTCACCCTGTCTGGCCCAGAGGAGGTAGGAGGGCACAGATCCCGTAAGCAGACAGACAGGGCTGCAGTAAGAGGATTCTAGAAACTGGGACAGCAGAATCAGGGTTTCTGCCTGCCTCAGCCTCCTTGGAATCCTGCTGGGTTCCAGGGGGCCACTCATCCTGCCGCCTATAGCTGGCCTGCCCCGTGTGCACTCTACCCTAGCTGTCCATCCCTGTGGCCAGGTTGCCCCCCATACACTTTGCCCTGGACTGTCATCACCCAGCGCACTCTGCCCTGGGTGCTCTCCCTGCCCCCCACCCCACGCGCCCTGCCCTGGGTGCTCACCCCTCCCCCACGCGCTCTGCCCTGGGTGCTCACCCCGCCCCCCACCCCACGCGCCCTGCCCTGGGTGCTCACCCCTCCACACACCCTGCCCTGGGTGCTCTCCAAGGTAGCCGGCCTGCCCTGCATGTGCCCTGCCCAGGACGCTCATCCCCGCGCAGGCTCTGCCCTGGATTCTCTTGGCTGCGCGCGTTCTGCCCTGAACATTCATCCCCCAGGCAGGCTTGCTTTAGCCTGGATACTCATCCCTTTCTCCCCGACACAGCAGATTCCTAGGAGTCCTCCAGGTCAGGTTCAAGACCCTGCCTGGGGTCTGGAAAGTAAAGCCACCCCTCCTCCCTTTCCTGCTGAGGGTCCAGGCTCACCCCAAGAATAAGGGCTGAGTGCCACCCCTACCCTACTCCCAACCTGGGACCTAAAGCCGAACCTTCCTAGGAGGCCTCTCCTGTTTGAGAACAGCCCTGGACTGGCCTTCACTACTGGAGACCTTGCCTGCAGCCGCTCCTGCTCCCTCAGCAGGCAGACTTGAAGACCCTGTGGGAAGGGACTTTCTGTAGGATCCCGGGTGGGCTGAGCACAGGGGCATGCCCTTGGCCACGCCATTAATCCATGTTGCACCCCAGAGCAGCCTAAGAAGTTGTTGAACTCATTTTGGGGTATGAAGGCTTCCCATCAGCCTGGGCCCTCTGATTCTGCCAGAATTGTTCTGTCCCCAACCCCCTCTCCCTATGGGCCCAGTCCCTCTCTCTGTGCCTGGCTCCGCTCACATGGCACCCCCTGGGAGATGCCACTTCCCCCATCTGAAGGAGCAAACTTCCCCTTCCTCCCTTCTCCATTGGTCTTTGTGGAATTGTTATTTGTTTTACTTCTTCGGAAGGCAGAGATACAGAGACACAGAGATCTGCCATCTGCTGGCTCACTCCTAGTGTCTGCCATGGCCAGGACTCGGCAGGCAGAAGCTCTCGCACGGGGCTCTCGCCCGTGAGTGGCAGCGACCCAAGCACTTGAGTCATCACCTGCCTCCTCTCAGGATGCACATTAGCCAGAGCCTGTAAATCAGGAGCCAGACCAGACCTCGAACCTATCTGGACTCCCTCAGAATGGGATGCGTAACCCCAATCAGCATTTTAACTACTACGCCAAACGGTTGCTCCGTGTGCCGTTTGTTTTCTCCGCACAAATCCACACCTGGCCTCTTTTTGTGGACACACATGTGTCTATCTTTGCCCCTCTCTGCTATTGTGTGAGTTCCTTGTGCTATGCTTTCCAGAGCTGAGATCATGGTCAACAGTAGCACCTGGCACCTTCTAGATGCTTCTGACTGATATTCCGACCAAATGAGGAGCAGGGGAAGGAGGCAGGCTCGGCAGGGCTCCCTTGGGGCAGAGGGGCCGAGGGCCACCACAGCAGCCCTGTGGGAGCCCCCTTGCTGGGCAGCCCTTTCCCCACCTAACCCAGGAGTTACCACGACTGATGCAGGCAGGTGCAGCATCACTGGGGCCTCTGCAGCCAGCAGGACAAACTCCGGCCTAGACACCTAGGGGAGACAGCAGTCACTTACACTAGAAAAAACAGGACAGGGTCTGGGCTTTGGGGCGGAGTTCCTCCGCGCTTTGAGCTCACACCTGCTCCTGCAGCAAAAAGGCAGCATGAAGCTGAAATGAGACTTCAGCAAGGGCAGCATTTCAAGGCAGAAGCAACATGCATGGAGATTGGCTATGGCCAACAGTCAAGTTCTTTAACTGGATACAGAGAAATCCACTGTGTTCGAAGTTTCACTTGCACACACTGTCATACAGCCTTTTTGCATGCATCAAAAAGAGTAAGGGCCCGGCACGGTAGCCTAGTGGCTAAAGTCCTTGACTTGCACATGACAGGATCCCATTTGGGTGCCAGTTTTACCTGGTGGCGACAATTCCTATCCAGCTACCTGCTTGTGGCCTGGGAAAGCAATTGAAGATGGTCCAAAGCCTTGGGACCCTGCACCTGCATGGGAGACCTAGAAGAAGCTCCTGGCTTCGGATTGGCGCTCCAGCCATTGTGGCCACTTGGGGAGTGAACCATTGGACGGAAGATCTTCCTCTCTGTCTCTCCTCCTCTCTGTATATCTGGCTTTCCAATCAAAATAATTTTTTAAAAATCTTAAAAAAAAAAAAGAATAACGCATGTAATACAGCAAGCAGATATTTCAACCTAAATGACCTCTAGAATTCAGTAAAGTGGCATATTCTTCCAGCTCTGAATTTTGAACCAGCTAGTGCCTGCCCTCACACCCTGCTAACACTCAGAAAACTACTTCGGTCCTCATTATCACTGAGATCCAGGCATCATTCTGTGGGGTGCGAGTTCTCAACCCATTTTATAGGTGAGAAAATTAAGACCTTGAGAGGTTAGTTGACAGTGATGGGGCTGGGTGGGTTTTGAATGACTCTTCAAGGTACTCAGCCAAACCCACCATCCCAAAAGGCCAAAAATTCCAGCTGGGAAATGACCTGTGTCTGCAGAGAGTCCCAGAAGAAGCAGGAAGAGGATCTAACACAAGTGAACAATGCCTTCTAGGACCTTCTTCCTCCGCCCTCCAGCCAAGCTCAGGAAGACCCACAAGTGGGCAGGGCGTCTAGGGATCAGGCTCCACGTGGGAGCGGTCAGGTTTTCAGCCAGTCTGTGTGGGGATGGGGTGCAGCTCCTGGCTCCCTTGCTGGGGAGCTTAAAGCAAAGGGCTCTGCAACAGACAGACACCATGCGGGGACTCTGGATGTGATGTTGCCACAGGGTCCCTAGGCTACGGCAGAAGGCCTGGGGGAGGATGTCTGTTTGTGAGCAGTCTGTCAGGAGGAGCTCTTCACAGTCACTGAGGGCCAGGCGAGACTAAGGCACATTTCCAGCTGACAATGTTGCATTCTTAGGCTGTGGTGCCACATGCTCTGCATTGCCAGGGGTTAGGACCACTGGTTCCACGGCCTCACCTTCCAGCTCAGGTGCAACCAGATGACCATCCTGCCTGTGAGGAGCCAAGGTCCAAGGAGGCCTGGGCATGCTCCAGTGGTTACTGACACCTGCCCCCCAGGGCAAGTGGCCTGACTGTTCTCTGCTCCCATCCCGCCTTTTCATATTCCCCAACCCTTAGACCCTCTTCATGAGTCAAGAGGGAGATACTCTTTTCCCCTGGCCCTGCAGCCCCTGGGTCTGTGCCCTGCATTCCCCCAGGAAGTCCCTTCTGCCTTGGCAGCTCTGTCACCATGGGCTTGGCTACTGCCCTGAACTGTGGGGTGGACCCCACATCTCCAATCTTTTGTCCAACACAGCACACCCCACGACACCTGCCCGGTGGCCATGCCCCACCAACACCTACGTTCTGAAAGCCACAGTTTAGGTTTATGAGAGTCCCATTGCCCTAAACTTCAGTTCAGGATGTCTGGCCACCTGAGGACCCTATACACTGGCAGAGCTGTGGCGGCCACCCACAGCTGCCCCCTCCTTGACTCACCTTGCCCTTTCTTGGCAGGAGATCCTGGTGAGTAGGAGTTGCTGGCAGTGAGCTTTCTGCTGCCACCGAGAGTGCAGAGCCAGAGCTGAGCCGCCGGCACTCCTGGGCATCAGGGGGCATTGCACCTGCCAACGCGCTGGCCGGGTTGGAGAAGAAAAGAGACACTTAGCAGTGGCAATGGCTTCCGTGCAGCCAAAGGCCACCCCGCCCCACCACCACCTGCAGGGGCTCAGCTGAGCAGGGCACAGCAGCCACCTCTATGTGAAGTCTTTACCGTGTGCCCACAGCAAAGTTATCACACTCGCTTTCCAAAGGAGAAGCAGAGGACTTGGGATAAAAAGAATGCACCGGGCCCGGCGCGGTGGCGCAAGTGGTTAAAGGTCCTCGCCTTGCACGCCCGGGATCCCATATGGGCGCCGGTTCTAGTTCCCGCAGCCCCGCTTCCCTTCCAGCTCCCTGCCTGTGGCCCGGGAAAGCAGTTGAGGATGGCCCAAAGCTTTGGGACCCTGCACCCGTGTGGGAGACCCGGAAGAGGCTCCTGGCTTCAGATCGGCATAGTATCGGCCCGTTGCGCTCACTTGGGGAGTGAATCATCGGACGGAAGATCTTCCTCTCTGTCTCTCCTCTCTGTATATCCGCCTTTCCAATGAAAAAACAATAAAAAATAAATCTTTAAAAAAAAAAAAAGAATGCACCACACACTTGGGGTATGTGAAGATGCATGTGACTCTAAACAAATGGGTATTTTAATTGGGATTCATCTTTTAAAAAAAGATTTATTCATTTTTTTTAAAGATTTATTTTATTTTTATTGGAAAGGCGGATATACAGAGAGGAGAGACAGAGAGGAAGATCTTCCGTCCGATGACTCACTCCCCAAGTGAGCGCAACGGCCGATACTATGCCAATCCGAAGCCAGGAGCCTCTTCCGGGTCTCCCACGCGGGTGCAGGGTCCCAAAGCTTTGGGCCGTCCTCGACTGCTTTCTCAGGCCACAGGCAGGGAGCTGGAAGGGAAGCGGGGCTGCTGGGATTAGAACCAGCGCCCATATGGGATCCCGGGCGTGCAAGGCGAGGACCTTAACCACTGCGCCACCGCGCCGGGCCCAATTTATTCATATTTAATTGGAAAGGCATATCAGATTTATGGAGAGAAGAGATAGAGGGAAAGATCTTCCATCCTCTGGTTTACTCCCCATATGACAGCACAGCTAGAGCTGAGATGAACTGATCCAAAGCTGGGAACCAGGAAATTCCTCCAAGTCTCCCATGTGGGTGCAGGGTCCCAAGGCTTCAGACCATCCTCTACTGCTTTTGCGGGCCACAAGCAGGGGAGCTGCATGGGAAGTGGAGCAGCAACGACATGAACTGGAGCCCATTTATGATCCTAGCACATGCAAGGGAGGAATTTAACCATTGAGCCATCACGCTGGGCCCTAACTGGGATTAATGTAATGATGCATTGATAGCATTGACCCCACCTTGAACTGTTTCCTGTAAACACAAGCTGTGGCTGAGCCCTGTGCAGGTTCACAGCAAGGAATCCCATGTCTCCCCTCTGGCTGCCTGACATTATGCAAGAGAGCACTTGAGTCCAGGACTTTTCCCTCCATGACTGACATCTGGGAGCTGAGGTAAGATGCATTCTGGAACAATGAACACTTGTGTCTGCAGAGTGCCATTTGAGACACCTATCACCGTCACTCCACTCCACTGGAGAACTCAGAGAGGGCATTGGCTGTGGGAGTGGCAGCACCTTTGTTCACTGCTGAGTGGGCAAATTCAGAGTCACCGAGTCCACAGGAAGGGGCACATTTGCTGGGACACTTGGAAATGTCCCCCTGGATACACATCACTCACCGTCTGTGTTCAAGGGATTTTTTTTCTACCTATGTCTAACCTATCAGTTTACATTCTTCTCTTGTGAGTTTTTGTGCATGTGGCTGTTGTGTGCATTGCAATAAACCGATTAACGTGGGAGTGCTTTCTGCACACTTGTCATTGAAGAATCGTAGGACCTTCTATTCTTGGGGAAAGTTGTAATCCTTGAAGTTGAAACCGACCAGGAAGGAAGGAACTGGCCACAGTAACTAGGCCAGTGTGACAAGGGTGCTTCTCCCCCATCTCCCATGTACATCCATCTTTCTGCTGTGGATTGCAGGACCCCAGATCCCAAACAGGCCCTGAGTAGACCCTGGGATGACGGAAGACCCAACTCCCTTCCATGGCACATCATCTACTTTATGAACTCAAGAGTTTTTGGACAGCTATTTTAATTGGGAGATTTGGGTTCTAAAAGATGAGAGCTCTGGGCCAGATCCCAGCTGTGAACCTGGCATCAAGTGCTAATGAAGCCAGATATCAGACAGGGTCCCAGCCTTTGACAAAACAGTATGTAAACAAAAGTGATCCCCCAAACTCCAGAGCGGCCAAGGGAAAGCACAGCCCCTGATGCAGCTTCAGATCTGATGTTAGACCATCACAATGTTTGCGGTTGCCCTAATTCTTCTCCCTGATCCTTGTCCTTCATGACATGACAATGCATCTCCTTCTTATCAAGAGAGGGGAGTCCATTTCCCCATCCTGCACACCCAGGATCTGGGCTGCATTGGAGACTTGCTCTGTCCAATGGAATAAGGTGGGAGTGGTAGGGGCCGATTCTGGACTCTGCTAACAACAGTTCCATAGCCTGTCCTGCTGAAGAACAGTCAGAGTCCCCTAGATAACATAGAACCACCCCAGCCCGCCAGGAGCAAGGCTGCCCAAAGTCAAGGTGCTTGCTGCTGTTCACAGATGCACCAAGCCACCCCAGCACCTGAGCACAGTCCAGCCCACCAGCCCCACAGGGTCCTGAGCTACCCGAGTTGATCGGGACTTTTGGCCACTGCACTGTGGTGTGGAGAGGGGTTGTCATTCCCTCTCTGAGCCTGACCTGGGCCTCCAAAGAAACATGACGCCCCAATGGCACTTCATCACCTTAACTGTGGCTTCTTCCACTGCTAATGGAATGCAGCCAACATTCGCTGAAGAAACAAGTGGTTTCTAAATGTCACCCATGAACATGGCAGGCTATGCTCCCCCCAACTTCCCGACACCTGCCACCAACATCCCACCCCATGTTCACGGTGTTCCTGGATACATGTCACATGATGCTCACCTGTTAGCGGAGAGACTGCAGTGGCTGTGGGCGGAGCTGCCTGACCGAGGCTCTACAGAGCTCTGGGTCTCTGTGCTTCTCTCTGAAACTAATCAGATGGCAGGGGGAGGGGCAAAGACGAGGCAAAAGCACAGCTTTCTTTAGTCAGGCAGCCTGGAGTGGGGAGAGCATCACCGTCAGCCAGCTGTGCGATCATGGCCAAACTTCTGGCCCCTCTCTGTGTCTGCAGCACGTTAAGTCCACAGCTGTGATGCTGGTACCCCACATGAGCACCAATTTAAATCCCAGCTATGCTGCTGCCAATCCAGCTTCTCAGGGCAGGCAGTGGAAGATGGCCCAAGTGCCTGGGTCCCTGAAATCCACGTGGGAGACCCGGATGGAGCTCTAGGCTCCTGAATTGAGCCTGGCCCGGCCGAGGCTATCTAGGGAATGAACCAGCAAATGGAAGATGGCTCTCTCTCTCTCTGAAACTTGTCTTTAAAATAAATTAAATAAATCTTTTTTTAAAAAGTGGGGCAGGGGGTGGTAATGACAGTGACAAGGTGGGAGAAGATAAGGGGATATAAAAATCTTAAAAACTTAGTGACAGAGAGCTCTTTGTTTTCAGGACAAGAACCAATATTAATTTTTTATAAGGTTCATAGAGCTCAAATTCAGTTGAGAAGTAGAGGACAGAAAATCCTGGGTTTTTTTTAAGACTTTATTTATTTGAAAGTAGAGTTTATTTATTTGAAAGTAGAGTTATAGAGAGCAGGAAAAGAGAGAGGGAAAGAGAGCTTCTATTTATCTGCTGGTTCACTCTCCAAATGACTGAAACACCTTGGCTAAACCCAGGAGCCAGGAGTTTCTTCTAGGTCTCCCACAATGGTGCAGGGACCCAAGCACTTGAACTATCCACTGCTGTTTTCCCAGGTGCTTTAGCAGGAAGCTGAGTTGGAAGTGGAGCAGCCAGGACCGGCATGCTGCCAGCCTCTGCAAGTTCATTGAAAAGCCACTCTTTGAACAAACTCAGAACTTACAATGATAATCACCTTGTACAAACCCCTTTTTCCTTCACTCAACTAGAAAGCCATAAAGGCAAAATTGTGCTTTTCTGCTACTTGCTTTGAATTGTTCTTATCAACATGGACAAATTAGAAATCAATAAAAACGAGGTGATGTTTATAATCAGTGATTCTGTTTAAATTATAACCCAGTTCCTGGAAACACAGGCAGGTCCTCAGCTCAGCACTCCCTCCCTAGGGCTTCCTCTGCCATCAGGCAGATCCAGGCCCACGCAGATTAGGACCCAGAGCCGCACTCACCTCTGCAGGCACGCAGACCCTCGGGCGTCCTGTTCGCTGGGCTCTCACCGCTCACCTGACACAGCCTCTTCCTGAGCAGGTAGCTTCTGCTCTGTTGCACAGAGGAGCTCTCTTCCACAACACGGCTCTCCACCTGAAGGCCAAGAACATGGCACATCGGCGTCCCAAGGTCACCCGGGCATGTGCACACTCATGCACACCCGTACAAGACGCGGTCAGACTGAGCACAGCTGTCCCACGCTGTGGGAACCCAACAGTGCTTCCTCGGGGAACCAGGCTCACTGCGGGAACAGCTGCACCCCTGTGTGGACAGCTAAGCTCACCAGCCCAGGTCTTCAGGACACCTGTGCCTTCCGTGCCTTCCTTCTGTGCTGGCTCCCTGGTAGCTCTCTTTGTCCTTTCCTCCCCTTCCTTCTGATCACTCGCCCTTGTCTTTGAATTCACACTTATCTTTATCGCACATGACACTGATTCATCCATCCGTCTCTTTCTACACCACCAAGAGCTTCATGCACCATGGCAATGTCCCAGGGAAGGCTGCGTTCAACAAGGGACGGGGACCTGCTTTGTGGATCTCTGATGGAGATGCTCTATGTCAACACAGTGTCTCTCCAAAGACAAAGAGACACCAACGTGTGGTAGACTCAAACAATGGTTGTTAAACCATGCAAAGAGTCTTTTAAAAACACATGGTGGTTGGGATGGGAAACGGTACAATATAGCATAGTGGCTAAAAATTCTTGCCTTGCATACACCGGGATCCCATATGGGTGCTGGTGCTTTCCTTCCAGCTCCCTGCACCATGGCATAATGGGGGCCAACACCATGGCATAGTAGGCTAAGCCTTGGCCTGCACACTGGCATCCTATATAAGTGCCAGTTTGAGTCGCGGCTGCTCCACTTCCAATCCAGCTCTTCACTTGAATGCCTGGGAAAGTAGCAGATGGCCCAAGTGGTTGATCTCCTAAACCCATGCGAGAGACCCAGAAGACGCTCCTGGTTTTGGATAGACCCAGCTCTAGCTGTTGCAGCCATTTGGGGAAATCAACCAGCAGATAGATTTCTCTGTGTGTGTCTGTAACCCTATCTTTCAAATAAAAATAAAGTAAAAAAAAAAAAACTCTCCCCCAAAAGAATACTCACAGAAAATGTATACTGGAGGGAAGAGACAAATATGCTGAATTTAAAACCTTTTGCACCAAAGTAGACTTCTACTTTAATTCCATTGCCCACAAACTTTCTTATCTTTCAAACATATGCACACCTCTTCTTTCATTGACTTCTCTGGCTCAAGTAAGAAAAGCCATATGTTCACCTGCCAGGAAATAAGGGGTCCCAGAGGGAGGCCAGGCCACAAGAAGCATCAAGAAGCATTACCTGAGTGACACCTGCCAACATGCCATTCTGCCATCCCTTCAGCCCTGTCCCCTCAGCTGGACCCTGTGTTCATCTTGGGCTCAGTTCTCCCAATGGGACAAGTGAAGCTGCCCAGCCCAGCCACCTCTGGTTCGTCTCAGACACAAGCCTCCTTATACCTTGTGCAATGGGCCCCTTGCTGGCCTCACTCTGCCCCACCTTCACAGCTCAGACCATCTCTCCATTCAGCTTGACTCCTCCCCATCCTTCCCCCTTCTGTCAATCCGTTCTTGCACAAGAATCCCTGTCTCTGGAGTAACCTTGAGGGAACCCAACCCACATCAAATGCCCATCATGTGCCAGGCTCCTGAGTGGGCATGAGAAATGTGCAGGGCAGCAAGCAGCAAAGTGTGACAAGTACAAGGTACAAAACAGCAGGGGAAAGGCTATTTTGCAATAGCTATTGTGGTCATGTGAGCCAGGTCAGAAAGGTTTCTAGTGGCAGGGCTAGAGTTGCCTTCTGATAAGAACACTGAGTCATGGGTGATAAGCGGAAGGTTTTAGGTAAGCAGTCTTTGAAACGATCATGGGACCTTAGTAATGTAGGTAGTTGGTCTCTCCAAAAGTCTCCACCAACGCTACCCAATACAAATGCCTTGAAGAGAAGTAGGTGTCTGATCCAGCAGCTAAGATTAAGCACCAACCATGATATAGTGGGTTAACCTTCCATCTGTGTACCAGTATCCCATATGGTCATCAGTAAGAGTTCTGGCTGCTCCACTTCCTCTCCAGCTCCTTGCTTACAGCCTTAAACAGCAGTGGAGGATGGCTCAAGTCCTTGGGAACCTACACCCGAAAGGGAGACCCAGAAGAAGCTTTTGGCTTCCGATTGGCCCAGCTCCAGCTGTTGCAGCCTCTGCAGAGCTAACCAGCAGATGGAAATTTCTCCCTCTCCCTCTATCTATCTATCTTTGCCTTTCAAATAACAAACAAATACATCTTTTTAAGAAATGTGGCATCTGTGAATAAGGAATTGAATTTTTAATTGTATTTCATTCCAATAAATTAGAATGTGCTGACTCGTGTCAATCCAGCATCAGTTACAGCATGTTGCACTAACTAGCAGGCTGAAATACACAACTGTGTGCTGACCTCAGAGATGGTGCCGAGAACCAAGCCGACCAGCCGCTGGACATGGAGACTGGCAGGGGCTGGGTACACGGCCACTGCTTCCTGACGGACCTGACAGGCTTCCAGGACTGACTGCAGGGGCCGTCGGCGGGAGGGCTGGTCTTCGCACATGCTCAGCAGGATGGAGTGCAAGGACTCACTCAGCTGCAGGGGCTGGAAGACAGGCAAAGCGGTGAGAAGAGGCAGCAGCACAGCCTGCAGAACCAGCTAAGGCTGACCCCAAGCTAGGCGTGCCCAGACACTCATGGAAAGGGATGTCTCCATTACCACAAGGCAGGTGCAAGCTCCTTCTAGAGATTTCTGAGACAGTTGCGAGTCTTCATCAAACCACTGAATGTTGAGTGCATGCATTGGGTGTGGCACATTGCTTAGTGACATGGAATACCCTTTAACCCTAACATATGCTTTAGATGCAAATGACAGTAAGTGCTAGGCTGGATGGATTTCCACATGTGCCAAGCACCCGGCTTATCCAAAGGGTCAGCTGCCGCTCACAGTGCCTTGGCAGCCTCTCACTGCTCCTGCTATTGTGGCTCGTTCCACGCACCACAGAATATGGTCGTATGACCTATGACCTTCCCCACTCATCAATCTTCAACCACGAGCACATTGTGCTCAGTCATGGCTGGTTAAATTGTAGGTACATATCAAGCCAAAGGAAACAAACACACATCACAAAAGCACTTTGCTCATACATTCCATCAGCCACGGGGAAGGTCTCAGTTGTGCTCAACCCATGATCCAGATCCAGTGTGCACAGTCATTTCTTGCCAGGAGCATCAGCTGTGAATACCTCCATTACACAGCTCCTGTACACGTACCTGTACATACCTCCTGTACACAGCTCCTGAGTTCTGTACTCACACAGGAAATCAGAGGCATCTGAGGGACTGGGACACCCAGCTCCTCGGGATACAGTCCCTGCCTTGGGGATCTCAACAGTCAGTTAGAAAGACAAAGACCTTAAAGGAAGACAAGGGCTTGGGCCTGGGCCAGCACTGGGCAAGGCAGCGACACAGAAGAAGTAAACAGCCACGGACTAATTTCCAGGAGCCAATCAGCAGGAGAGTGGAGGTGAGCCGTGTGTGGAAGGAGCAGTGTATGCAAAAGCACAGAAATGTGAATGAGCCATCAGCAGCAAGAAAGCAGGCTCTGGAGAGGATCATGGTGATGTGCTCACAGTTACTGGGAATTGCAGGATGGTGGGAACAGAGCAGTGGGGAAGGGGTAAGATGCTGACTGGGATGCCCCTGCATTCCACATCACAGTGCCTGGCCTTGAATCTGCACGCTGCTCCCAGCACTAACCAAGAACACCCCGGGAAAAGAAGGCGGTCTGTGATATGTGGCAATGCCTAGCTCCACAGATGCGGTCTCTGCCCCAAAGAAAGCCGCTAACTTAGGCAGAGCCAGAGCCTGGCAAGGCTTGGAGGACTTGGTTTACAGACCTGGCTTGGCGGAACTTGGAATCCCGCTGACCAATAGAGAGTCATTCCTAAGGAATACACGTGCACCTGTCCAAGAGGAAACGCCATGATTAGATGCCAATTGTCTCTGCTGCTCTGTGGTCCTGCATACAAAATACAGCTCAACTTCCACTGGCAAAGGCACTGCTGCCTGGCTAGCCAGACAACACCTGCAACCCTTGAGCCAATGCACTTCCCAGCAGGAGCCATGACGTTTGCTTTCAGAAAAGAGATGTACAACTTTGGTCAAAAACAAAAACAACTTGCATCACTGACCTATGTGATTTGTCCCATGTCATCCTGTCCCCACATCCCTGCCTTGTACACAAACGTGATAGATGGGATCATAGCAATAATAGGGTGACCATGAGAAGAATAACAAGCCAGCAGCTAAAGAGAGTAAAATGGAAAACACACAGCCCAGATGAGAGGCCTTGATGAACCTGCTGAGCAATCCCCATGCTTCTTGCTGAATCACTAGGAGCTAAATCTGTGGCTCTGGTGTTTGTATCTTGATAAAACAACAAGATTAAATGTCATTCTGCTGTTACTCTGGGGCCCTGTTACTACTGACAAGATATATTCCCTGCCCCCAGGAAATGGCCTTTGGGAAAACGAAGTGATGAAACATCAACTTGCAAAAAAACACAGGACTAGGCCCGGCACAGTGGCCTAGCGGCTAAAGTCTTTGCCTTGCACACACAGAGATCCCATATGGGCGCCGGTTCTAATCCCAGCGGCTCACTTCCCATCCAGCTCCCTGCTTGTGGCCTGGGAAAGCAGTCAAGGACGGCCCAAAGCCTTTGAACCCTGCATCTGCGTAGAAGACCTGGAAGAAGCTCCTGGCTTCAGATCGGCTCAGCACTGGCTATTGTAGCCACTTGGGGAGCAAATCAGTAGACAGAAGATCTTCCTCTCTGTCTCCATATATCTGCCTTTCCAATAAAAAATGAATAAATCTTAAAACACACACACACACACACATCTACCTGAGCAGCCCAGTGGATTTAGTACAAATGGAGTTTGTTCTTCACATCGGAAGGTCAAGGTCATCTGTGTCACTTGGCTTTCATCGTCATCTGAAGTCACACCCGATGCCAGTCCCTGTCCTTCTGGTGCATGTGGCTAAGCACCTCACAAGAAAATGCATGAGCTGCACTCCCATTTGCAAAGGGACAACCCTGACAGCAGGTGCAACAACAGCCCCCGAGCACCAGCAGAGTGCCAGCCACCCCTGGGAACTGAAGGCTTTGTCTACACATGTCCTAGGGCGATACCTATCCCACAGTGACAACAGGCTCCACTCCAGATCCTAAATACAGCCCACCAGTAGATTCAACCTGGGGAAAGATAGTGAGAAGGTTTTGGAAAGCAGCATCTTCAGAAGGAAAGAATCTGTGCTAGATTGGTGATGTCTGCCATGAGCATGGGAGGGGGTGACTTGTAGCTAGGACCCTGCCCTCACCTGCTACCTCCACCTGAGTGTGAGATCCCAAGGGTAGGAGGAGATGCCTCTATGTCCCGGGTTGCCAAGCATTTACCCTTTGTAGGAACTGGGCTAAGCTGGATGCAGTGGACAGCCTTGTGATGAATGGAAGAGAATGGAGAGGAATAGAACCGAGTGTCAGGGAGGCTAAGAGATGCAATAACATGGCACCCTGCCTGCTGGCCTACTGAACAGCTGGTGTGGCTGGTTTCCTCTCGCTTGGGCACTTGCCTCATGTCAAGCTCACAGCCTGAACACCAAGGTACTGGCAAGAAGAGTTGCTTTGTAGACTCAAAACTTAGCCATTCCCCCCTGGTTGGCCCTCTCCTGGCCAAGTTTGCCCTGGGCTTCCTGGCTCAGCCTTTGTAACAACGCTTGATTCGGCCTCAGTTCTTAACTCAGTCTGGTCCTGCCCCTTGGAACCCTCCCTCTCCCCTCTGTATGGAGGAAAACATGCAAGAGGGAGGAGCGTGTCTTTCTGCAGCTCGAAGATGCCCCAGGCTCATGCCAGGCACTCAAGGGAAGGCCGGGCAGCAGGGTCACACCTGCTCCTGATCAGTGAGTGCTGGAACAATGAGGGAGGGAGCCAGGAACACTCAAGCAGTTGCCTGAGTTCCAGTCCTGGGAAGCACAGCCTGAGGCAGACACTTCAGCAGCAGCACAGTTTGGAAAACAGGACAGGTGGGATGGGCAAGGCCAAGGTGCACAGCAAGAAGTGGGGCAGACTTGGCTTCCTGGCACTCAGGACCAGGCGGAAGCTTCCAGCTCCAGTACACCTTAAACCCGTCCAGCAGCAGAAGGGGAGACAGGAGGTATTCTCTTGGTCTTCTCCCAGCTCTTCTTGACCACAGGGAACATGCCACCCTGGGGTGCCACATGGTGTTGATAGGCTCCTTGATACCCACTTAAAAACGCCAGACCCCAGGGCTCAGTGAGCAGCATCTTAACTGAGACCAAAATGGAAGCGGCAACCCAGTGAGATGCAGACTCAAACCCAGAGACCCAAACCGAGGGAGATGTAAAGGGACCTCATCTGCAGATGTCCAATGAGGCCCAAGCAGGATTCTGGCCACTTAGATGAGGACATGAGGACCTGCAGTGTGAAGATGCTGGCAGATGGGGGGACAGGGCAGGGGCTCCCATGGACCCTGCCAAAGCCAGCCTGGAAGCCTCCATGGCCTCATTCTCAGCTTCTGTTCTGAGAGGCGGGAACAGGCCGAGTTAAGACTGAGGCTGAGTCCAGGCGGACTCCCACGGGGAGCAGTATTGGCGGAGCTGCATGTATCCCATGAAATGACAGGAAGAAGGCGTGCAAGTCATGCCCTGGACAGCAGTACGTCCCTCCCCATGGACCACGCCTGCAGCATGACACTCCCACCTCTGAACTGTGGTGAATGGAGAGTTGTGCTGATTGAAACTGCTTTGCTATTTAGAAGCAAAACATATTCTCTCTAGGAAAACCAAGAGTCTCCACTGATGCTGCCAGCCGGAAGCACTCCGCACACACCTTACTACACGCTGCCAGCGATCCCAAGGCGCCACACCATTTCCCATGCTTTTTCCAACTTTTTTTTTTCTGAACATGGGTAACAGCCCAAAGGGCTAAATTACATCTACATCGGCCGGTGGAGGAATGAAGGCTCAGAGAAAGTGACCCACGCTTGTCGCAGAACTGAAGCCCAAGAACAAAAGTCCTCAAATCTGCTCTGCATCGGTAGAGCAGCAGGTTGAGACGGTGGGTACGAGGGGCAGGGCACAGAGACGCGTGGTGGCCTTACCTGTGACATGTCGAGCGGCTCGTCACGCCTCGGCTCCCGCAGCAGCTCGGGGGCCTTGAAAGCAGCTGCCTCGATGTGAGACACGCGGTTCTGAAAAGCAATACTTCCGGCCGCCGAGAGCAGGGCCGACCAGGGGCACACGACATAGTCGGAGGTGTCTGAAACCAAGGCAGTGACAGCGGGCATTGACCAGGGGCTGCCCCCTGCAGGACCAGCCAGCAGCTTAGCCCTGGGTTCATGGGTGAACAAGAACCCAAGCGATGTACAGAAAAAAAGAAGCAGTCTAGTCCCTGTGCATGGCAGCGTGGGCTACAACACAGTGGCTGAGGTCTTTGGGGCCAGCACCTAAGGCAACGGGCCTTTGGGTACTGAGCAGCAGGTGGTGAGGAGAGCAGAAGTCTTGAGGTACCGGTACATACTCACCCCACCCTGCCCCACCCACACTCGCTGGAACACCCTGGAACGTGTGTGACCTCCTGTTTGTGTACCATACACTGCAGCTCCTAAATAGGTGCGCCCTCTGAGTTGACCCCAGAGTGTTTGTCGCCACTTCCCATCGTGGTTCTGGCAGCTCCAAATTCAGCATCCTTCAGTCCCCATCTCCTGAACCGAGTGCAATGTACAGCTTTCCCAAGAGAGGGCGCTGGAGCCAGGGGTTCTCTTTGCTATTCCCCAGGGAAGGGGCGGTGCAACTCTTAAGGACCCTCAGCCATGTCAAGGCTTGGCCTGACCACCTGTTCACTTCTTCATGACCCACTTTATTTATGACCCTGCCTGAAGGAGACTGCAGGATTCAGGCTTCCTCCACACACCAGCCTCACTCCTGGCCGCCACTGGTAATGGCTTGTTGAGTGCCTGGGCCACCTGCAGGCCCCTGCGGCCAGGAAAGCCAGAGAGCATCACCAGAATCATGAGCTGCAAGCCCAACTCTCCCAGAAGACGCAACCTCCAACCTGGAGGCAGGACCTCCCTGCCAAGTTTGTCCTTCACAGGGTACCTGCCCCTAATCCTGGGACACAAGGCAGAAATTTTTTTTACTATCTTAAAGTTACTTTTCTATGGCAGTTTAATGATTCTTGATGTTAACATCCCCTATCCAGACCACCACGTGGGATCGTGTCTCCTGACAGGGTACTAGGGCAGCAAGTGGCAGATGAGGGCAGCATCTGGACATTAGGCTCCCCAGGTGACTGTGCCCCTATGCCCCATGCCTGCATATGCCCAGATGACACAGATGTTGGCAAAGGCCCAGCAGGCTGCGCCTGGTGTCTCTCTTAAGCACCATGCCTGCCTGGAAACACTGCCACACCAAAGGAGGGGCATGGCTATTCTTTCAACCCTGCCACCTGGCATGGATCCAAGAGACAAGCCTGGCTTCCAGCACGACACCATGGCAGGATGCCATTTGCCTGATGTTCTAATATCTCAAATAAATCGCAAAGGGAAAAACAGCACCCAGAAGTGCATTCATTGCACAAGCTTCATAGTAACTCCCCCACCGAGCATAACCACCTTCTACCTTGGCAAAGGTCTTCCAGGAGCTGCTCAGCACCCAAGGACAGGAGGGACCAGATGTCATCCTCAGACAGTGCTTCACCCCTGACCTGTAGGACACTGGCCAGTGTCACAGAGGCCGGGTTCATCCCTGCAAAGAGACAGCATGGTAGGGCCCTTGCAAAGTGCAGCGTACCCCACTCTGGCCCTGGCACAGCTCAGCTACTCTGCCCTGTGTGTGGGCCTCCTGTTGGCAGCAAGCGCCGGATGTAAGGAACAGGTACACGGAAGCTAAAGCCAAGTCAGAGTGACCAAGTTGCTGACCAGTGAGTGAACAGGTCCATCAGTCAACCAGCTGCCAAATGAAACGTTAAGTGCATTAGTAAACAAGTGAACAGGTGAACCAAGGAACAAGGCTGCCACCTGGGAGCTGGGCACAAGCTGGGCAGTCAGCCACTTCCACCTGACGAGTGGCTGCTGCCTGCCTTTTCCCACTGCCTGCAAAATTGGGTTAGCAGCCGTTTTTATCTATACCACGCAAGTCGTGTCTTTCCTCTCTGGCTGCCCCCCACCCCACCCTCCGACACACACACACACAGACCTGGATCTGGAGCCGCTTTCAACAGCACCTGCCGGAGTACCAGTGGGAACCCTAGAATCACCTCTCTCTCTCTCTCTCTCTCTCTCTCTCTCTCTGCTGAGAAGCTCCTTTAAAACCAAACTGACATTTCCATGTCTGTCCCTCCCCCCTCCCCCCAAAGCCTCCACCCACTAATCTCCAGAGCAGGAAGGGACCAGGCAGGCTTCTCCTAATCCATTTACATCACTGCCTCCAGCAGTGCTAATCCAAGCTCTCTCCCCAGCCACCAGACTCCCTGCAGACACTTCCAGCCCTGCCTCCTCCAGCCTTAGGGCAAGAGGCTGCCTAAGCAAAAAGAGGCTGGCTCTCCCTCCCATTTCCACTGGGGCCACCCAGTACCACCTCCAGAACCTGGATCACTGAGCAGGATGAGGAGGGGACTGTGTTCCTTCTCCAGGCAGGAAAACGTTAGGTCAAGGCAGTAGGAAGTAGTGCCCAGCAAATTTTGTTTTGGGGCCCAGCACATTGGCTCAGTGGCTAAATTCTCACTTGGCACATTCCAGAATCTCATAGGGGCACTGGTTTGTGTCCCAGCTACTCCACTTCCCATTCAGCTCCCTGTTTGTGGTCTGGAAAAACAGTAGAGGATAGCCCAAAGCCTTGGGACCCTGTACCCACATGAGAGAACTAGAGGGGACTCCTGGCTTCAGATCAACTCAGCTTCGGCTATTGCAGCCATTTGGGGAGTGAACCAGCAGACAGAAGATCTTTCTGTCTCTCCTTTTCTCTTTAAATCTGCATTTCCAATAAAAATAAATAAATATTTTTAAAATAAGAAGACTTAGTTGTATAAGGTTTTTGTTTTTGTTTTTTTAAAGGGAGAGTTACAGAGAGACAGAGCAATCTTTCATCTCTTGGTTTACTCCTCAAATGGCTGCAATGGCCAGAGCTAAGCCAATCTAAGCTGAGAGCCGGGTCTCCCAGGTAGGTACAGGGGCCCAAGGGCCTGAACCATCTTTCATTGCTTTTCCAGGCCATTAGCAGGAAGTTGGATCAGGAGTGGAGCCGCCAGGACTTGAACCAGCACCCATGTGAGATGTGATGTTCGTCCCCTATCCTCTCCAACAGCCACTCTCCACCCTCCTTTCTTCTTCCTCCTGGGTTTTATACATTTTGCTTGGACCTGTGGACTGCTCACTGCCATTCTGCCACCACAAGGAAAGGCCATCTAATGCCAGGTTTCATAGGCACAGAAGGGAAAGTGTGCATCTCAGTTTTCTGAATCCCAAGACACAGTGTCAAGCCTGCTGGGGTTTTTCCAAGCACTCTAAGACTAGAAAAACCCATAAATAAAATACTGAATGTGTGGAGGTCTTCCGAACAAGTAAGACAAGAGAAAAAATGCAGGAAAAGAATGGCTAGATTAAAGCACCACTTCTGTACAGTAATTCAGTGATGGCCAGACAATGAACTCCGGATCTATTGTGGGAAGGAAAGGTGAAAACTGGGCAAAATTTCACTTTCTACAGGAATTCATTCCAAATGGATCATGGGTTTACTCCATAAAACTACAAATTTTTAAGGAAAATGAGAGAAAACATTGAGGATTCAAGGAGAGGCAACCAAAAACACTACCTGTAAAGATCCAACTGATACGCTGCCCCTCATCAAGACTGAACACGCTTGTTCAGAGAAAGACCTTGTTGGGGATGACAAGGTAAGCAATAGATTAGGAGAAAATGGTCAAATACTACATATCCAAGAATGTACACATGGAGAGGGGCTAGCATTGTGGAATTGCAGGTTAAGTGTCTGCCTTCAATGCTGACATCCATACGGTGCTGACTCCTGTCCAGGCTGCTCCACTTCCAATCCAGCTCCCTGCTGGTGGCTCTCCTGCTAGGAACAACAGAGGAAGACAGTCAAGTGGCTGGGCCCCTGCTACCTGCCAGGGAGACCTAGAGGGAAGCTCCTAGCTCCTGGCTTCAGCTTGACCTAGCCTTCACTATTGCAACCATCTGGGGAGTGGGCCGCAAACGAAGATCTCTTTTCTTCGCAATTCTGACTTTCAAATCGATAAATGTCTTTTTTTAAAAAAAAAAAAAAAGTATACGTGTGTAGAATATATTCTTTAAGACTTTCAAACCCTGTCACTAGGAGAATAAACAACTTGATTAGCAATGACAAAAGTAGACATGTCACCAGATACATGATAGAAATGACAGCTAAGTCCATGAAGAGACATAAAGCTTGACCGGACATCAGGCATATGCAAGTCAGACAACAGGACACAACACTGCACATCTCTCAGAACTGCTCAAATACCGTGTGTGCCAATGCCAAGTACTGGTGAGCGTGAGTGTAAACGGATCCTTCACCCACGGCTGATGGCAACGCGAAGTGACACAGCCGCCGTGGAAAATGGCTTGGCAGCTTCTGATACAACTGGATGTGTTATTATCATGTGATTCAGCAACAGAACATGAGGGCATTTATCCCAGAGAAAAAGCCCATCTATGAGTTTTCACTGGCACTTTTATTTTATCTAATTTTTTTTAAAACATAGAGTTATAGAGAGAGAAGGAGAAACAAACACAGAGAGGGAAATTTTCTACTGCTGGTTCACTCCCCAAATGGCCACAACAGCTGGGGTGAGCCAGACAGAGCCAAGAACCGGAAGCTCCATCTGAATCTCCTACATGCACGGTAGGAGCCCAAGCACTTGGGTCATCTTCCACTGCCTTCCCAGGCACATTAGCAGGCAGCTGGCTCAGAAGAGGAGCAGCCAGGATTCAAAACCTCATTCATACATGCGATGCCAGCATTACAGGTGGCTTCGGCCAATGTGCCACAATGCTGGCCCAGCAGCTTTGGTTAAAACCACCCAAAACTAGAGTCAGAATAACTATCCCAACTATGGACTATTAATCAGCAATAAAAGAGAACAAACTGTTGATACTAGGTTTCTGTGCCGAGCCCAGATACAGTTTACTTTAGTAATATGAAATACATTGAGGGCTCAAAGCAGTAGAGAAGTAGCCTAGCAGCTAAAGTCCTTATCTTGCACACACCAGGATCCCATTTGGGTGCCGGTTCTAATCCCAGCAGTCCTGCTTCCCATCCAGCTCCCTGCTTGCAGCCTGCGAAAGCAGTCTAGGACAGCCCAAAGCCTTGAGACCCTGCACCTGTGTGGGAACCCCAGAAGAGGCTCCTGGCTTCCAATCGGCACAGTTCCTGCCATTACAGCCACTTGGGGAGTAAATCATTGGATGGAAGGTCTTACACTTTGTCTCTCTTCCTCTCTGTATATCTGACTTTCCAATAAAAATAAATAAATCTTTTTTTAAAAAAAAACTGTATCTAAGAACCAAAAAAAAGTATGAGTATGCTGCCTCAACCTGTAGGAAGCAGCAATAGAGAGATGTATACTACGAGAACCTAACAGGAACCTAACAGTGGATGAACCGAAATGAACTCAGCTAATTGCCACAGAAAGAATTAGTCACCTTGGAAACAGGACATTGTGAAGAATTAAGACAAAAAATAATGAAACAAAACAATCAGAGACTTCTGGGATCATCAGGTTTACCAACATGCACATAACAGAAACTCCGGAAGTTAGCAGTGCAGTGCAGTACAGCGGGTGAAACCTCTGCCTGCTGTGCCAACAACTCCTGTGAGTGCTGGTTCCAGCCTCAGCTGCTGTGCTGCCAAAGCAGCTCCCTGTTCACAAGCCAAGGAGAACAGCAGAGGATGGCCCAGGCAGGTAGGTCCCTGACACGTATGTGGGAGAATCGGGCGCAATTCTAGACTTCTGCCAAGCCCCTGCCATTGCAGCAATTTGAGAAGTAAACCAAGAATGGACGATTCTCTCTCTCTCACCCTTTCAAATAGATAGTCAGAACATATTCATCTAGAAAAACAGGGATTCCAGCAAAGAAAAGCAACGAACCCTATCTGAAGAATTAGTGAACAAAACCCCCTCAAAATCCCAATGAGAAACACTAACCCACGCATCTAAGAGGCACAGCCAACTCCCTGTAAAATAAATCCAAAGATATCCACAACTTACCACCCTTAATCCACCTTTCACGGGAAGATTAATGGGAAGAAGTGATTCATCACAAATAAGCAGTAATCCTAAATAAACGTAGAAAGCGTTGAGTTTTCATCATAAACCACGAGGGTGAGTCGCTGGGTGACATATCTAAAGTTCTAAGGCAGGAATGGGGACGGACCACCTGTCCGGCATTCTGTTTCCAACAAAGCGATCCTTTCACAACCGGAAGAAAAAGTTAGACTTACGCTGTATGGAGTTATTCAGATATCCCACCCTGGACCCGGCGCCATTCCTTCTTCCTCACAGCTCACGGAATTCGCGCCAGTCTAGCCATCCACCAATCAGATGTAACCTGGCATTCCACCTGAGCATCCCACCCCCAATCATCCAGCCCCTTCCCCAGCCCCGCCCACTCACCAATCATCCCTAGGCATTCACCTGCAGTAGCCAATCCCCTGGGGTCTGACCTTGAACCCTCCCAATCCCCACCCCCCACACCGGGCAGACAA